TAATTTAAAATAAGGGCAAGAGGGCTGAGTTTGACAAAGCATCTTCACAGTATGATTCATATGCCTGAGTTCATCTGGTGTCGAGTTGGGTTTTATAAACCAAGTTCCTTTCAATCAGGGTTTAGCCTGTTTGTGGGTGTCTTTCCAGTGTCTCTGTGATGCCCATTCAGGGCGGCTGGGTTGGACAGGGCAGGAAGGCACTGTGTGCCCCTCGGTGTAATGTCTGGGTAGGCGCTTTTGTTTTGGGTGTTGATACGGGGCACGGATGTACCTCTTTCTGGTGGTACAAGTTTTGCAAAGGTGGAGACCGTGACTTTTCTACTCATAGCAAGACCACTTCATAAACAGATGTGAAGTAATGTGTCTGGGAGTGACTCACCAGGTTCACAGAATATCCAAGGCCCCAAGTGACTCTGTGGGTCACAGCTTAGCCAGCTCCGGCAGCCATCTGGGGTGACAAGAAGACTCATACACATGTGATGGGTCAGAAATAGTCCAGGCAGGGCCTGGTCCTTGCTGCCCCTGGGAAGAGCTGAGTTTTTGGATGGTTCTAGCACTTTGCACTTCTCCGGGAGCCCACACGTGTCCCATAATTGCCGTGGTGGCCTGGGGTGCTCGGCTCCCACCTTCCCACCCCTCACCCCACCACCCTGCCATTGGTAGGCTGCCTTTTTTTCTTCTGCTGTAATCTCTCTTTTTGTTGGATTGGGTATTTATTTTTAATTTTTAATTTTTTTTTTTTTAATTCCTTTAGCTCTTGCTGAAAATCAGCTTGGGCAGAGTGGTGGTGCTCAGTGCTGGCTAATGGCTTGGAGCCCCTCCAAGCCGCCGGATGTGTTGGCTCTCACTTGTGGGTGGTCGTTGACAAGCGTGATGTCTCCTCTCTGTGACTCCCGAGGGTGCCCTCTTCTTGCCGGCTCGGCTGTTCACACTTGGCTGGCTGGCCTTGTCGTTGGCAATCGCAGTTTTTATGGCGCACCCCGGGGCTGGTCTGGTCGCCTCGACAGGGCCCAGATTTGTTCAGTACGAGAGCCCATTCGGCCTCCAGGCCCTTTGGCCCGTGTGGTCGTGTTGCAGGTTATTTTGTGCTGTTTTTGATGTGGAGCTCAGATGCCGGCCCAGGGTGCCTAGAGACTCCAAGTCTGGAGACCGGTGGCTTGGGAGAACTCTCAGGTCGTTAGAGATGTGGGCGTGTGTTGTGTGGGCGATGTTGTCTGCTGGCACTCTCCAACATTCTGGCGCTTCTTCAAAGACTGTTAGTCTACAGAGAAGGACGGGGTTGAAATTCCGGGGTCATCGGCTGGTAGCTGCATAAGCTCAGGTGAGGAGCTGAGCCTCAGTTTCTACATCTGTAAAATTGGGATAAGAATACCTCCATTCAGGGTTGACTTAAAGATTAAGTGGGAAATTCCATATAACACGGCCTAGGACCAACTCAGTAAATAGTAACAAAGTGTCAGGGTTTCATTTTCAACAAAGTGGCGATGTTTCCCCTTCCTGAACCCTGAGTAGGCCATTTAAGGACTCTGGATCAAGGGCTCGAGCATGCTCTTCCTGCTCCTAGGCAGGGGCTGGTGCGGACGCGGATCCATGACACCACAGGGGCGTTGTGGAGAATGAGTCTCATGGCCAGAAGCGTCTTCCGAATGCCGCTTGTCTGCTGAGCTCTCGTGGGGGCTCTGGAAGTGCCCGCGTGCGGTGAAAAATGTCTCCTCTCCCGGGTCACCCTTCCACAGCTCCCGTCCCTGTCCCTGTGTGGTTCACAGTTAGCATTTCTGAGGCTTCCAAGTGAACACGGGACAGATGTTCGCACAGGTGCTGTATTCCTCACTGGGTAAACAGTGGGGCTTGCAGCCTGTGTGTGTGTGTGTGTGTGTGTGTGTGTGTGTGTGTGTGTGTATGTGAGAGAAGCAGTTGGGAGGGGAGGCTTCTGAAGGGTGCGCACATCTCACAAATGTCTTTTCAAGGCACCCAAAGCGTTTTGCACATGTTAAGTGCTCAGTAAATCCTTGGTGATGAGTGACAGTCCCAGTGAAAGCCCTTTGTTTCCATAAACCCAGTGACGCAGGGGCAGGAAGCAGAATTGCAAGCCGAGTCTTGACTATCATGGATGAAGGAGGGAGAGATGCCATCCTGCCTGCGGGCATCCAGCAGACACTCGTTCCCTCTCTGCCCCGGCAGAAGGGGTAGGGGTCTGCGGGGCACATAGTCATGGCCGGTGCGGAGTGGTGAGGAGGCTTAGGTAGCAGAGGTGAGCGTGGTAGCTCCCGGCGGGGCACCTGCCCTGCACAGATGCGCTCACGGTGCTGCCCTGGGAGACTGAACTTGAGATTTTGCTGCGTGCAGCGTCTGTAGATGGGGTTGTGAGGTTCACCAAGACGGGCCGCCTCGTCACGTGCTTCTGATTGGCACACTTGCTCGGGTTGCTTCCCTTTGGACCCAGTGGCTCAGGCCCTGTCTGCTTCAGCCGGTCTGCTCCTCCTGCCTTGTCTCTGCCTGGGTCAGCTTCAGGATCACCGAACCTTCTCTAGCTTCCCAGAAATGCCCTGCTGTTTGCTTCTTTGAGCTTTATGCCTGACCTTCCCTGTTTCTGGAATGTTGTCCCCCACCCCCCGCCTCAATGCACTTGTGAATCGTCTTCATCCTTCATCCTTCAGAAGTGGCCCAGACATCACCCCTGAATCTCCCTGCATCTGCCCACGAGCCCCCATGGAGGGCAGTTCTCATACCCTTTTCTAGGCTGTTGTAACTAAGAAGTGACTTAATGCACCAGAATCACGTTCCTTCTCGTGACTCCTGATGGTGAGCTCCATGAGGACAAAGTACATGTTTTGACTTTTTTCAAGTCCAACACCTGGCACATGCCTGGTATTCAGTAGGTGCTAAATAAATGTCTTTAAATTAAGCCGTATTTGTTTGTATCAGGAAGGCCAGCCTTTTAAAATTCCACCCTCCCTTGTTCTCCCCCAGATTACTGCATGATTTATGAAGCCTGCCCAGTGGCTGTCAAGGTCATGTTTGCAACCTCAGGGAGCAAGTGCTCTGAGTAGCCAGTTGGGGGTGGGCTCCTGGGGCAGTAACCACTACCCTTAATTACAAGAGCCTCTGTTTACAGCTACTGCTCTCAACCTTCTAGCCCTTTCCCTGACAGCTCAAGGCCCTTGTGTGGCTGACCTCCTGTACCTACAGAGAATCCCTCTGGATTTGGCCGCGTCGGTCTCTGTCAGCGGGCCAGAAACGAAGTTGAGGGTGGCACAAGGCATTATCCTGGCTACTTCCAAACCAGGCTCCTCCTTCTAGAACAGTGGTTGACCCGTAGTACTGGCCTAGTTGAGCCTTTTGTTTTTCCTTTCCTCCTCTGGCCTGAGCCTTTGGCAGAACGAGTTTTGGGCTCGAGGCCAGCGATTCAGCTATGTTGGCTCTGTGCCAGCCCTCCCCTTCCTGGAGGTCAGGATATCTGCCCAGGGCTCTGTCCGTGTTTGCTGTCTTTCCTAGCATGCACTGATAACATGGCCCTACGTCCCGTGCCATCTCGCAACCAGTCATCAGAAAGAGGCCCGAGCGGGAGGAAATGTGTGCCCCGCTTTCTTGCCGCAGAGTGTCTTTTGCTCGGTTTTTATCTGGGGGCCTTTGAAGAGCCAGCCAGCAGCAGAAGCGGTGCCCGGAAAACTCATCAGTGTCACTCTGGTTTATTTTCCTCTGCTCTCGGAGTTTTTTTCCCATGGAGTGGGGCTCTCAGTGACAACTGGCGAACGGTTGGGCGGTGGCTCGTTGTCATTCTGGCGGGCACTGGTTTCCGGGGGGGCTCCGGGTGCTTTGTGGGCATTCACATTTGTTTCTGTACCGCCCAGAGCACAGCTGGCCCCAGTCCCAGTTAACGGGTGGAGAAACTGAGGCTCTGGGGATTCTGATGGCGAACCAGCGGGAGGGAAGGGGCCCAGTCGGGAGGGAGGCTCGAAGAGGATGTGCAGTGTGCGTGTGTTTGAGAGTGGGTGAGGTCGTGCACATGTAAGAGGGGGAGAAGGACGACTAGCAAGGATGGAACGGGACTAGAGAGCTTGGTATAGACCTGCCCAGCGGCACTCCCGGTCTGGCGTTCTTCCCCATCCGGGAGCTCATAGGCCTTTTATCCATAGAGGCCTCTGGCCCTAGGCCCCCGAGGAAGGTCTCAGTGGCTTCCGCAGCCCATGCAGACCCTGCCCTTGCTGGGTCTGGGGGTTGGATCCCAGAAGTCCTCCCTTCCTGCCTGTTCTTTCCGTTCTTTCCGGCTCCTCCCTAGTGCAGCTTTATGGCGGCATATGGAAACTGTTTCTATTTACCCTGCGCCACCAGGATGCTGCTGTGTTCTGTGCTCCAGCGAACGGAAACCTTGGATTCCCCGCAGGGTCATTTCAGAGGCTGCATGCAAAGCAGCCAGCTGTTTTGCAGGGAACGTCTGGGCCCTGTTACATCAGCGCAGAGAAAGCGTTACCATCTGTGCAAACAGGTCATCCTGGTTTGGCGGCCTGTCGTCTGCATGGGGAACTTCTCTCCTACTTGGAGTCAGTTTTTTCTTACTGTTGTTTTGTATTCGAAGGCCTGCCCTGTTGGCCTTTCCTTTCAACTCCTTCCCCTCCTCCTGCGGGTGATTTTATGTTCACCTCCCTGGGCTGGCTGCCAGGATCCAGGGAGGGTAGTTAAGGAGTAGGGGTTGCGTAAATCTTTAGTGGCTAAGGTCTGCGGGCAGAGGAGGCCGTAGCCTGGTTTCCACTGGAGAGCTCTCTGCCTGGGGCAGCAGAGGAGCAGAACAAACTGTTTCTCTTCGGGAACTTTCCCCGGAGGCACAGAATGGGATCTTCTTGGTTGCCAAGAATGTCGCTGGTCAGCTTCCTCCGGCCCTTTCAAAACCTGTGAGCAAGAGCCAGTGGAGAAGCTGGCTTGCTGGGAGGGCCTGGAAGTCTGCTTCTCCCACCCTCCTGTACCCACTGTGTGTCTTTTTCCTTCTTCCTTCCTGCTCCCAGGCCGGCTGCCTCCCAGGAACGCGGACATGCAGAGGCCGGGGCCGGCGGCCGTTTTCCTTCTGGAGGAGGTAGTGGAGGGCCAGCTCCCCATCAGCCCTGTGGCGAGGTCATCCCGTCTCCACCAGATGGGCCCTTGCGGTATGCCTTGACCTTGCCTTTCCAGCTCACCTGGAAGAGCCTGCCCTGCTCTGGGTGTGAGGATAGTGCCAAAGTCTGAGGTTGCCGCGTTGATTCTCATGAGGTCTCTAACAATCCCCGGTTGGGCCAGACCTGGGGAGCTGTGGTGAGAGCCCTCCTGACTGCTTTGTTGTCCAGGACTCTTCCCTCACAGGGAGCACCCATCATTCACCTGGAGACCTGGGGGCGGGTGTTTCCCCCAGGAAGTGCAGAGTTGGCCAGGGCAGGAGGAGTAGGTGGGCAGGGCAGCAGGGAAGGGGGCTGCTTGCACACCCCTCTCCGGGGCTGAGGCTCCCCAGACAGACAGACAATCTGGAGCAGACCCAGTGGGCACAGGGTGTGGGCTGTCACCAGGACATGGGGAACTTCATGCCCAGTAGAGACCAGTCAGGGGGCCTAGGAGTCTCCGCACAGCCTCTCACATCCTGCCTTGAGGGGGTCTTTGCTAAGGAAGCCCACTGGATCTGTTCCCTGGCAGGCAGGGCCTTGTGCCCCCAGGCACCCCACCGTCTGAACCACGGGCCCACCATCTGTGTCCTCCAACGCGGCTGCCCACTTGAGCCTTGGGCCCCTGACTTGCTCCCTGCTCCCCTGTCTTCCTCTCTTTTATGGGCTGTAATTGTGCCCCTTTTGGGAGCTGCTGAGCCTTTGAACATGCCTTATACCGCAGCAATAAAGCACTTGGGATTTGGAGCATTTCCATCACCTCTGTGGCCACTTTTCCAGCCTAGGAAGTGGGAAGCAGTGTTCGGGGGCAGGGAATTAGGAGCCACGTGGTGCCCCAGCACCCCCATTTGCCATGCACTGAAAGTGCTTCTGGACTTGGCTACAGGGCTGCCCCCTCTGCATGAGGGCTGCCTATAAAAGGAACAGGGCAAGCCAGGGGCTCCCTGCCTTCCATTTGCGCCCTTTGTATAATCCCTAAATGTGCCTCCCAGCTGCTGGAGCCAGGTGTGAAGGGGGCTCTGTGAAGTCTCCCATGGCTTTCCTGAAAAGCCCTGAAGCCTTCCCACCGTACCCCTCCACACCCCTGGGCCTTTGAGCCCTCCCCGAATATAAGAGTCACAAACAAGCTATGGGGCTTTGCCTTTGGGAACCTAGTAAGCAAGCCAAGTTCTGTGTTCTGAGCAAGCATCAGGTTGAATGGTTCGAACAAAGTCCGCCCTGGAGGGGACACTCCTCCATTCTTTCCTCTTGGCTCTGCCTGTCACATTTTTCCTTTTCTTTTTAAGGTTCTGCCTGAATCACCCTTATATGAAATAGTGCCCTCCAGCAAAACGTTAAAAGAATGATCTTTTAGAAAGCCCAGAGATCATGTCATGGCCCCTTAACGCCCTCTGGCACTCGCACTGTAGTCCCAAGGGAGCCTACCTGCCAGGCTCTGTGCATAGTTCCTGGTCCCTGCCCTGCGGTCACTGGCCCAGGAGTGTGCTTCTGGAATCTTCAGGGAAGAGCTTCATTTCACTTCATTACAAATGTTTGTGGAGCATTTGTCCATCATGCCCAGTGCTGTTCTGGGTCCTGGGGACTCCATAACAAGATGAAAGTCCCTGGCCTCACAGAGCTGGCATTCTAGGTGGGGGAATGCACGAAACAGACCGGCAAGTAAATCAGTTCCCTTCTAGGTGGTGACATGACCCCAGGGAGAAGCACAGAGCAGCCAGAGGAGGACAGGGTATGCCAGTGACTTCCAGAGATGGGAGAGATCAGGGGAGGGCAGAGGGAACACAAAGTGCACAGGGCCTGAGGCAGAACCTTCTCCAGGCCTGTCCCAGGACCATGAGGAGGCCAGCATGTCTGGAGGGAGAAGGTGGGTGGGACGAGACATCTCAGTCTCATAGGCCCTTTTAATCCAGGGGAGGACTTGAGGGTTTTCCTGAGAGCGGGACACTGCAGTCTGTTTGGAGCGGAGGAGTGATATCATCTGGCTTAGGTTTTTAAAGGATTATTGTTATACTGAACTACTAAGTTTACTTAAAACATGCACAAACACACACACACACACACACACACACACACACACACACACACACACTAAAGGACTTCTCTGACGGGCCTAGAGACTAGACAGGCAGGGCGAGGTGCGGGGAGCCCAGTTGGCAAAAGGGGTTGTGCTTCCCCGGCGGCGGGGAGGTGGGTTGGGCCACGGCACAGGGCCGGAGCGGGTGAGCCATGGGATCTTACCGGCTGGGCGCAGCCACTATCTGGGCATCATTCAGCGTAGTGAATGAAGGGCATACCAGGGGCTGAGTCTCCTGACTCCCGAGGAGCCCTCCTGCTCTGGGATTCCAATGGGTGTGGCTACTTTGCTCAACATTTTAGGTCGAGGGAAATATTTTCTCATAATACCTACTCACCCCCCAGCTCCGTACCTGCTGAGCACACGGGGTAGCCCTCCTCTGCGATTCAGCACGGTGCTTCTGAACACAGACCTGATTTGCTTTCTAAATGTGTGAGACCTGGGGCAAGTTCACGCATCGCTCTGCTCTGCCATTGCCTCATTCGCAAAATGGGGACAGTCGCGGTCAGTTGGGAGGATGAAGTTCATGTGCATATGGGGTGTGTAGGAAGTGCCTGGTACCGGGAATATGTGCTGTGTGTGCGGAAGTCCATTATTTGGGCAGAAGCTGAGTTGCTGAGCTCTGGACTGCATAGATCTGTGGGGCTGCGGTTAATCAAGGGAGGGAGAGGAATGAGTGTGCTAAGAGGCACCCTCGCCCTCTCCGTGCAGCCAGGCGGTGTTTGAGGAAGGCTGTTGAAAACTAGCAAGGTTCAGGTGGCTGGACCCTGCCCCAAGGAAGGTCATGAATTTGAGTTGTTTTTAAGGCCATCTGCCCCAACCTGCCTGTCCCCTCGGAGTCTCTGTGTACCTGTAAATACAGAGATGCTGGGGATTGCAAGGGCGGCTGGTCCAACTCCCCACTCGCGGGGTGAACCTCCGTTCTGTTGAAACACCCCCATGGATGGCTGTGGAAACTCTTCTTGAGGCCCCGTGGTGATGGTGCCCTTGCTGTCTCCGCAGACATGTGCCCCTGCAGGGCCAGGGCTCTCCAGGGACCTCCAGTCCCCACCCTGGGCACTGCCCTCTGTCCTGTGGACACCCACCAAACAAATGAGTACACGTACAAGGCAATTGTTGGCTTAAAGTAATTTTGTAAAGACTTATTTCCAATGTACAGATCATATTTAGAATAAAATAACAACTATGTGCCCAGCTGTAACAGGGCCTAGCATTTACTAACTTACTTCAGCAAAGCAAACACGACATCTAAAGCCCCTTCTGCCCAGGGCGTCGGTGGTCAGCCCTGCAGCCGTCTGTTCTCGCACGCCAGCCAGCCCTGTGTGGTCTGTGGCTTTGGAGCACACGTTTTATCTCTGTGGTGCTCACTGTCACGTGGGGCCCCCCATGTCCTCAGCGCGCCTTAGGAACCGGCTGTCCTCTGAAGCCCGGCCCGTGAGCGCCAGGCTGACGAGCCACCGGTCTGTTAGAGCTTGGGAAGGACTGCGATTCTGAAGACCCTTGCTTGCCCGGATGCATATAGCTCCTTGTAGGATGAAGAAGTCTGAGTTTTTCCTGAGGGCAAGCCATTACGAGATTTTAAGCAACAGAGCATGTTCCCTATTGATGCTTTGCTGACCTCATCCTCCAACAAGATGCCTGGGGTCAGGAGGCCGGGAGAGCCTGGGGCAGCGAGAGCTGGCCTGGGAGCTATTGCTGTCTTGTAGGGGAAAGGCAGGGACCGGTGAAGGTGGGGAGTGGATTTGGGTCTCAGAGAGGAGACTCTGCCAGAGCTGGAGCCTCACTGGCCATGGAGAGAAAGGCGATGTCAAAGTTTTCCATCAAAGCCTGAAAGCCTGGTCCTTCTCCCCATCCCAGTGGTCCCTGTGGATTTCAGAACCGGGAGGGAGCTGTTGTTTGTGGCTTAGAGGGGAAGATGCCACGGGGCACCTGGTCCCAGGCAAAACCTTCTGGTGTGAGTGTGAGCGAGGTGCACAGGTGGCAAGGAGCGGCCTGCACTGGGGGATATGATAACCGCCCCCCCCCCACCGCAACCCCATCACAGTGGTGTGCGGTGGAAGTGGTGAAGGCCAGAGGGGAGAAACCAGGAGGGCTGAGGGAGCTCCTGGGCATGAGGAAGAAGCCAGATCCATCTGCTGAGAGCCCCGAGAGGAAGGAAGGGCCAAGAAAGTTCGCACAGAGGGTCTCTGAGGCAGGGGCTCACACAGATGCCAGCGCCCAGCACCGGCTGGGAAAGTGGCAGTAATGTCTGCAGCCGTCTGTGCCAGCTCACCGCCGCCCACCCCACACCGGCCCCGTTATTTCTTCCACCTAGGACTGCTGTGGCGCGGGCGCAGGCTCCTGCCATGGAGCAGGAAGGTCATGGAGGACGGGCGCAGGCACGCGAGGGCGCAGCGCCGTCCAGCTGCCTGCCGGCGGCTTCTCCTACCAGGGAGGCACATTTCCGCTCCTGCTTCCCTGGTCCACACCAGCATATCCAGGAAGGCGGTTCGACCTTTTGTCTGTGCCTAGGGCTTACTTCTTCCAGAAATGGAAACCGGGAGCGGAGTCGGGGAGCGTCGGCCTCGGGTAGAGAAGGACCGGAATGGTTGACCGCAAGCTGCAGCCAGATGGGCCACCTCCTGCTTGTAACTTCTTAGAGGGATCGAACTGCTGCTGTGTTTCATCCTTTTGGCGCTACCCCGACACCCTTTCCAGGCTTCCATTTCCCGAGAAGAAACGGAAGAGGCATGTAGCCTGCTGGTGAGGAACTCATCACCCAGTTAGGTGTCCCAGCCCTGCTTCCTGCCCGCTGCTTGGCTTTAGGAAGGCACCTGGCCTTTCTGCGGGGTTGTCGGGAACGTTACATAGGTCAGTGGGTATAAAGCACTTAGGTGGGAGTCAGTTATCTATCGCTCTAGAGCAGAGCATCCGAAAACAGTGCCTGAAGACAGCAGATATTTCCTTGAGACATTTTGTGCAAAAGCTTACAGTTTGGGCAGGGCCCAGTGGAGGGGCTTATCTCCGTGCCACGCTGTGTCAGTTTGGACACTTGTCTGGGGTACAGGATCTGGTTTTGAGATGGTTCGTTCACCTGACTGGCAGGTTGCAGGCTGTTGGCTGGGGGCTCAGCTGGGCTGTGGACAGAGGGCCTTGCTTCTTCCCCATGGGCCTCTCCGCCACACAGCGTGGTGGCTAGGTTCCAGGAGCAAGGGTCCCAGTAGAAAAAGGGTGGGAGCATTCTTATGACTTAGGCTCAGAAGTCATTAGCATTGTGTCCTCCATCCTGCGTTGGTCAAGATAGGCACAGTCTCACCTGGTTTCAAAAGGGAGACACCCAGGCTCCACCCATTTGTGGGGAAGCGGCAAGGTTCTAGAAGAGCACGTAGGATGAAAGATTGTGCCGTGGCTGAATTTGCAAAATACAGTCTGCCGCAGCCTAGGTTTTGGCATGTGGTAAGCCTCAATAAATGTTACCATGGCTTTAAAGGCATCATCTGCTGTCCTTCTTCGCAGACTCCTCTCTCTTAGAGTTGGTCATGGAGCATAGGAGTTAAATGGATCTGTTCTGGAGCCAGGCTGCCCGGGGTCAAATCCTGGCTTGGCCCCTTAGAGCTGTGTGACCTTGGCTGAATTGCTTAACGTCCTCGTACAGTAGCATTTATGACCGTACATACTGCTTGGGATTGTGAGCACAAAGCACAGAGCCCACGAGTAGTGTTAACTCTTTCCTGTTCTTAGGTGCTTCGGCTGGTACAGTCCCTTCTAGGAAGATTCTTGTGGTTACACATCCTCGCAACGGAGGATGAGGCACATTCCGGGTTAGGTCTGTGAACTGGAAATCGCTGCGTTTCCAGAAGCCTGAAGTTTGGGAGGGGAGAGAGGGAAGTGTACCGTTAAACGGGTAAGGTTCTTATCCTATACACAAGGTGACACAATATCGCTTGACCACAGACTGTGGTAAATTAAAAATGTATACCATAAACCCTAAAGCAACCTCCAAAAAGCATTGTAGCTGAGCCAGGAGATAAAATGGAATCATAATAAATATTCAGTGACCTAGAAGAAGGCAGAAGAAGAGAACAAAGAACAGATGGGACAACTATAAAAAGACAGCGAGATGATATATTTAAACCTAACCCTGTCAATAATTACATTAAATATGAGTAATCTAAATATGCCAATTAAAAGGCAGAGATTTTTCAGACTGAGGGGAGGCAGCAAAATCAAACTATATGCTTCCTCCAAGAAACACTGTTTAAATATAAAGATACTAAGGGATTAAAACAAAAAAATAGGAAAAGCCACACTAATCCCTAATTGAAAGAAATAATCAAAAGCTGAAATAAAGACTTCAGATAGACAAAGACTTGGGTCTATTTAGAGAATGCACATATGTATATGTATGTGTGTATATATATATATATATATATATACATACATATATATATTCAAAAATAAGAAAATTACCCAAAAAACAAACAAGTAAAAGATTTGAAGATGCTTCAGCTAAAACATACAAATGGCAAATAGGCCTGTGGAAAGACCCTCAAGATTATTAGCCCAAACGCATATTAAAAGCTTTAGAACAAGATTAAGAGGACGGAGCATGTCCGGTATGGGTGAGGGTGTGGAGGAACAGGGTCTCCCCTGCCCTGCAGGTCATTTGGAAAACAGTCTGGCAGTTTCTTAAGTTAAGCGTATGGTCTAGCAATTTCACCCGTAGGTATTTACTGGAAAGAATTGAAAGCACGTGTCTGTACAAAGCTGCACGCATGCGTGTTCAGAGCAGCTTCGTCTGAAACAGCCCCAAACTGGGTGCAATCACTTGGGTGTCCACCAGGTGAGCGGATGAACCATGGTACATCCACATACCATGGAATACTGCTCAGCCAAAACACCGGAATGAGCTCCCGATACACCGAACAGTGCAGATGCATTTCAGAGTAGTTACGCTGAGGGAGCGAAGTCAAACCAGGAAAGCAAACGTACTCCGTGATCCCATCTGTGTAAAATTCTTAGATGCAGATTCCTCTAATAGTGACAGAGAGCACAGAGCAGTGATTGCCTGGTGTGGATGGAAGGGGTGATGGATGTGTGATCTTATCGTAGTGGTGGTTTCACAAGCGTGTGCCTATATCAGAACATACCAGATTGTGCGTTTTACTGTGTGTCAGATATACCTACATGAAGTTGTTTTTAGAAGTGGGTGGAGAAGAGCTTTGCAGGACCCAGCTGCCCTTGACTGGCCATTCAAGCTTAGAAGGACCAGGTAGGACTCTGCAGCCGTAGGACCCTTGCCAGTTCCCTCCCCTTTCCTGTTGGGTGGTGAGCTTTACATGTTTGCTTCCTGCCACCTCCGTGCACATCTCCTTATCCAAACATAACTTCATTCTTTATTTTTCTGGAGGAGGATCAGTTTGGGTGTGAATTTGGGGCAGCTCGAGTCTCATTCACGGTGATGACAAACTTCCCAATAAATTAACAAGTTGAAAGTCATCTCTTAGTGCCTTTGCTTACCATGTATCAGTGGGCACACGTGAGGGTTGTGACAGACCCAATTCAGACAGGCTTAAGTATAAAAGGATCTTTATAGGCTCAGATTTTGGAAATGCTAGGAGGTCCATTTCAGGCACATCTCAGTCCTAGGGTGGAACTAATGTTATCTCTGTGATTCTTATGTTCTCTGTCAGTTTTCTTCTCAGGCAGGCTTCCCTCACATGGTGGCGGCGGAGGCAGCCACCTGCCCCAACACAGAAAGAGCCCCTCCTTCCTGAGTGCTCTAGGAAAAGGTCCATGTTCAGCCCTCATTAGCTGGGCCCCAGATAGAATACCGCCCCCACTCCGCCCCCGCCAGCCTGAACCAATGCCTGTCCAGGGAAAAGAAGCGCTTTTGTTGCACCTGCTGGGAGCCAGGGGTGGAGTCCGCCCGGAGACAAAGCATGGTGCAGAGTAGGGAGGGAGAGGAGGTTCTCCAAAGGCAGATGGGTTCAGTGTTACTGAAAGTAAAGAGGCCTGGGTATCAGCAGGGAAAAACAAAAACAAAAACAGATGACCCTGCACCAGGAAACAAATCCAGTTATTTTTGTTTTAACCATGTAGAATATTAACATGCTTCCAAAAGTCAAAAATGTACAAAAAAGGGGCGCCTGGGTGTCTCAGTTGGTTAAGTGCCTGACTCTTGATTTCAGCTCAGGTCATGATGTTAGTTTAGGGTCGTGAGATTGAGGCCCACGTCTGGCTCTGCACTCACTGTGGAGTCTGCTTGAGATCCTCTCTCTCTCTCCCTCTCCTGCTCGCTCACTTGCTCTCTCTAAAATAAATAAATAAACCTTTAAAAAAAAATGTGTTCAGAAGGATCACTCCCTTTGAGTGACACTTCTACGCTGCCCCCTGCACCCCTTGTAAGTAAATGTATCCTTGTTTCTTTTTGTAAAGATAGATATCTGTATGTTTTCTTGTGTCCTCCCCGCCTTTTTTTTTTCACACAAAAGATAGCATTTTATATGTGTTCTCTTGCCCTCGCTTCTTTCATTTAACGAGAGAATGAAAAGCATTTTTAATTAGCCGTGCTAATCCTTTCTATTATTCCAGGGATTCGAGCACTGACTCGATAATGGGATATATGTGTGAGCAGACGAGCCTTTTCTTCTGCTGAATAGTGTCTTTATTCTCTTGAGCCTGGCTTGTAAGTGAATCCCTCTCCCCTTCCTATGCAGATGGAGGCAGCTATGCCGTTCACGACTCCCGGACCCCCAGTCTAGGCTCAGGGGGTGAGAGTCCCACCGGACACAACTGGGAGATCAATTATCAAGAGGCAGCGATCTACCTCCAGGTGAGTCTCTCCGATCGGGACGTCTGTTTCCGGTGCCTGTTGGCTGAGTCGGGCAGCCAGGATTCTGTTAACAGCCCCAGAGCTCTGGCTTTGGTTCTTGTCCCATCTCCGTGTATGAGCTTCTCATCTGTAAGGTGGGGAGAGCCTACGTGGTCATGCTCAGATGAGCAGGGCGATGTGTGTGGACTTTCTTGTGACCCCCCAGCTTGTGGCCCTGCCTGCCGGAGTCTCCCTGAGTCTATCCACTTGGCCTTGGGGCACACTGGCAGCCAGTTCCCGAGGGGGGCGTTTCTTTAAATATGTTACACTGTAGCAGGGGTTTGTTGCCCATTATGGGAACTTAGAGACCTTTATTCCTTTCCTGTTAATTTGCTGTTGCTTTCAGGTTTGCTGTTTCTTGCTTGGTACTGGGTTTTGTTTTTTGTTTTTTGTTTTTTGTTTTTTTTCTCTTTCAAAAAAAATACTTTATTTGTAGAAGTAACACACGCTCATTGTGGTAAGTTTAGGCACAAAGGGGCTGTGGAAAATACTCCACCTAAGTCACTGTCAGCATTATTGAATAATACATAGGTTTTATGTGTTTTGTAAAGTTAATTTTAAAGTCACAGTTGTATAGTCTTTTTTTCCCCCATAATGTGTAACAGAAGCTTTTTTCTTTTTTTAAAGATTTTATTTATTTATTTGACAGAGATCTCAAGAAGGCAGAGAGGCAGGCAGAGAGAGGGGAAAGCAGACTCCCTGCTGAGCAGAGAGGCCGATGCGGGACTCTATCCCAGGACCCTGGGATCGTGACCCGAGCTGAAGGCAGAGGCCTAACCCACTGAGCCATCCAGGCACTCCTGGAAGTTTTTCCTTCTGTTATTATAACTCCTATAACAAATTTTAATGACCTTTATAATTATATCTGGTAAATGTATCCTAATTTACTTAAACTATCCTGATAAGGCTGGGTATTTTCCCTTTTTATGGTTCCCTTATTATATATTACACATTTCCCTATTATAAATTATAATCCAAGGACCATCTACACAAAGAGCTATTTCTCTCTTTAATATCCAGGATCATTTTATTAGGAAAGCCTCTAGGAAGTGGAATTACCAGACGGGAAGCATCAACATTTTTAGGGCCCTTGATGTACAATTATTGAGTGTTCTCCAAAAGGGGTATTGCCTCTTAACTGCCCGTCGCACTGTCTGCGCCATTGCCATAATCTTGCCATTCTTGTCACTGTGAGATCTCTGTTTCTTGTGTGCAAGGAGTAAGAGTCTAGGTGAGGGAATGGAATCTTTCTGAAATTCATTTGAATAATAATTTCCCCTAATCTTTTCTCTTTGAAGCAGCTCTCACACTGCAAGTATGTGTTTGGTTACTTCTTTTGGAGGATTGCATTACGTTTGGATATTTGTTTGGTGATCGTTCAGTTGTCATTATGCTTCTCATGTCTTTTTTTTTTTTTTTTAAGATTTTATTTACTTATTTGACAGAGAGATCACAAGTAGGCAGAGAGGCAGGCAGAGAGAGAGGAAGGGAAACAGGCTCCCTGCTGAGCAGAGAGCCCGACGTGGGCCTCGATCCCAGGACCCTGGGATCATGACCTGAGCCAAAGGCAGAGGCTTTAACCTACTGAGCCACCCAGGCGCCGCTGCTGCTCATGTCTTATGCGGGGTCACACGAGTCGTACCCCTCAGCCAGTGCATTCTGACCCAAGTTGAAGCAATAGTAATGTTTCAGGGACATTTTGGCGAGCTCAGGCATGCCTGTTGATGATCTCGTAGAGTCCTCCAGGGTCACCTGTGCACTGTCACCTTCTCCAAGGTTGACTAGATGCTGGAGAAGAGCACGGGGTGGGTCAAAACACAGAGGTAGGATGGCCTGGAGGACTTCAGAAATCTGGTAATTCCTTCTCTCCTTAAGCGGCTGAGAACATTAGTGATAAAAATACCTATTTTTAAGTGAGCCCCATTCTAACAATCGCCCCCCAAAGTGCTTTGATCGTCTTCCATTTACAGACTAGCAGCCGACACTGAGGGGAGCTAAAGGAGTCCAAGGCCATCCAGCTCGTAAGTTACGAGCGTGGATTTAAACCATGTCCAGCTCACCTCCAAGCGACGCTCTTTCTTCTCCACATTGCTCCTCCATTTCTATAACTGACGACATGTAACCATTTAAAAGTGGGCCATGTGAAAAAGAGGCCACAGAACGGCAGGTAGAGTGTGATAATTTTTGTGTAATATTTATACACACACACACACACACACAGGTTCATACATGTATATAGCAGCACACACATGTGTGTGCACACAGATTCCCCCATTCACATCTGGAAAGTTGTTCATCTAAATATTAAAGGTGATTATCTTTGGCTGACGGAATTTTTACTGCCTTATAATCCTGTGTGTTACTTGAATTATCTTACCAACAATGCATCATTTTTTAAAAATAATAAAAATAGAAACCGTACCTGGATGCCTGGGAACATTAGTGGTGGCCATTTCTGGGGATGGGTGGGCGTAGCCGGTGTCAGATGGTCTTTCTCCTGCTCTTCGGCTGAGCGGGTGATCGGTGTGCTTGAGTAATTGGCCCCTTGCCGCCTGGAGGGTACCGGAGGTCTGTTGACTCGCTCATCCTCAGGAACCATGTGCTCTGCTCTGCTCCGCAGTCCTTGTGCCTCTGAGACAGGACTGGTTTCCTGGGTGGAATTTCTGCCCCAGGGAGCAGAGAGCGATACCAGAAGTCATACACAACTGGCCTGTCTTATTTCTCCTAATGTAGTTCGTGATCAGTGGCAAGGAAACAAGGCCAGTGTTCTCATCGCTCTATCCTTGGTGCTGGAGATCTTATATTCTGTCTCTGCTGGCAGTTCTCTCACCCTAGAGGTGAAACCCAAGCCCCCCTGTCCGTGGTTTCCGCTAGCCAGACCTTCATTCCAGGCTATTTACTGGAAGACATTACCCGAGAATTGCATTTTCTGGTAATCCAAGCCAGAGGCTTCCCAGATCCCTCTGCGTGTCCCCCCAGCCACAGCGGTGCTGGTACAAACCACAGCCCTGCACAGATCACAGGACCGCGAACCAGGCTTGCCCAGCATGCCCGCTGTTTGACCACCGGGATGGGATGTTTGTTCCCTTTGTCTGGCCTGCCCCTGTCAGGACTGTGGTTTGTCTTTAGTTGTTGGTAACGAGGGCAGTGATGTGTCTGGCTTTGGGGAAGTGACTCGCTCCAGGCTACCTCACAAACCACAGCCGAGGGCAGAGCTTCCCTTCCCACAGCTACTGGGCAGTTCTCAGGCCGGGCTGTGGCCTGGAGAAGTGATCTATGGCAGGAGTGGTTCATCCTACCAAACAGCCATGAAACACCTATTGTGTGTAGCAGGCACCACGCTGGGTGAGATCTGACAACATCCCTTGCCAGGCCAGACTGCTTTCCACGGCACAGTGGGCCCCTCTGGGCCCAGAGCCCTCCTTCTGCTAGCCTGTGGGTTCAGCAGGAATCGCTATGGTGTGTGTTAGTCTCTCCTCCCTGGGATAAGGGTTGTGGGCCTGTGGAGGGTGACCTTTATCTCAGAAGAGCTGAATAGCTGGAAGAGTTGAAGGTCTGACTCATCCAGGACAGCTGGAATGCTGCCAGAGGACTCTGGGTCAGGGGACCTGGGTGTCCTTTCTGGCTCCGCCACTTCCCTCTCCAGGAAATGAAGCTGGTGGGAGAAGTCTAGCGGAGAGTTGGTGCTGGAAGTGATGAGCCAGGTGCACCCCTGACATTTGGGGCCGGATAACTCATTCCCCCGCCCCGTGCATGTGAGGGTGTTGGGTGGCATTCCTGGGACTGGCACACTAGTTGCCTGTGGCACCCCAGGGGTGAGGAGCGGATGTCTCCAGGCCGGGCTGGGTGAGGGGCCTGGTGGGGGGGCGGCATTGCCCCCAGTTCAGAGGTGCTAAAGCTAGGCGACACATGCAGAGCTTTACCAAGTAATTTCCACTCCACGCTGGCTGCTGGCTGGGGTGCAGATGCGACGGGGCGGGTGAGGCGGGGCGACCCTCCTCCCCGCGCCCATTACTTCCAGGGAGGCAGTGAAGACCCCACCCCCACCCCCCGACCAACCACCACCACCAGAAGGCTGACCCGAACAGGGGGGGTGGCCCTGGAATGTCATCTGGTCGTAGTGACAGGTGGGCCGCTCCCGGGGCTCTGTCACTTAGTCTCCAAGTCAGCAGCTGGAGGCTAATCACGGAGCCCGAGCACGGGACCCAGATGGCCTGGCTCCAGAAGCTCAGGCGCTCCTGAAGCTTCTGTCCCTCGATTTTCTCATCTGTCAGATGAGGTAATAAGAGCACCCACCTGAGAAGGCCATGGTCAGGAGTGAAGGAGGGTCTAGGGCTCAGGGAAGGGGCTGAGCACGGTGCCTGGTCTGGTGGGCACTCAGTCAGGGTCAGCTCCTGTCCCATTATCACTGGAGCACAGGAATCAGGGCAAGGCCTGTCGTTGTGCAGGGTTTGGAAAGGAGGTGAAATAGTCAAGAAAGTAAGAAGCAGAACATATTTTGTGTGTGTGTGTGTGTGTGTGTGTACCTTATATGTAATATATATTATAAGGTATAATATAGGTATAAGGTATAATATAATATATAATATATATAATATAATATGTATAATATAATATATAATATAGATAATATAATACAATATAATATAATATAATATAAGGTATTTTCAGGCTCCTTTCCTTCTCAATGTTAGTATCATAATCATAATAACAGGCGACATCTGCCGGGAGCCTGCTGTACCCCACACCCCGTCCTAAGTGTCCTGGGGGAGCCTAATGAGTAAGGACACATGTTAGCCCCTTGGTAGTTGAAGAAGGGGAAGGAACTTTCTGAGCGTTCTCCAGGGAGGAGTGGGGAAGCAGGACTCCGCAGTGTTTGCTGACCCCGACCCCCAGTTTGTTACGTTCCACAGACACTTCTGAGCATGGGAGTCTGGCCGCCGAGGGGCTCACCTGTATCTCTGCTGTTCGTTCTCTTGGGGACTATTCTTTGATTCTTCCAGGTGGTTTTTGGGAAGGAGACCCATCAGCAGACTTGACAGGGGTGCAGTTTGGTGAAAATAATGCTTTAAAAAAAAAAAAAAAGACTTTATTTATTTATTTGAAAGAGCAAGAGCACAAGCAGAGGGAAAGGCAGGCAGAGGGAGAGGGAGAAGCAGGCTCCCCACAGAGCAAGGAGCCTGACGTGGGACTCGATCCCAGGACCCTTCGATTGTGACCTGAGCCGAAGGCAGATGCTTACCGACTGAGCCACCCAAGCGCCCCAAAGATAACACTTTTGATCTCCCATCATCTTCCATTTCTGGCCCAACTCTGCTTGTCCGCCGGAGGCCTCCTTCTCCTCTCTGCCCACGGCACCCTGAGGTGTCTCATCCCGAGGTCCATTCGCCCACCCTGCTCTCGTTTCCTCAGGAAGGCGAGAATAATGACAAGTTCTTCACCCACCCCAAGAACGCCAAAGCGCTGGCGGCCTACCTCTTCGCACACAACCACCTCTTCTACCTGATGGAGCTGTCCACAGCCCTGCTCCTGCTGCTGCTCTCCCTGTGTGAGGCCCCCGCCGTCCCCGCGCTCCGGCTCGGCATTTACGTGAGTGTCCGTCTCCGTGGCATACCTGACGGAACGTTCTGGAAGGGCACATACTATGAGCAGATGTAAAACAGAGTGGCCCGGTGGTGGGGGAGGGGAGGTCATAGAGGCCTCAGGACCCATAGTGGATCACCAGTCTTGCCTGGGGTCCCTGCTAAAATGAATGCACCCCCCACCCCCTGTGATTTGGTTCACTGGTAAATTCCAGGGAGGGGTGAGCATCTGATTGCCTCACTTAGGACCATGGGCCACACTTTGGTTCCCGGTGAGCACTGCACCTGATGAGCCCTGCCACACACCATCTCCAGCCTCGGGCAGGGGAAAGGGAGACAGGGGGGCTGGTGATGGGCCATCTCCCCCACACCCTTTGGTTGCAGGTCCACGCGACCCTGGAGTTGTTCGCCCTGATGGTGGTTGTGTTTGAACTCTGCATGAAGTTGCGGTGGCTGGGCCTCCACACCTTCATCCGGCATAGACGGACCATGGTCAAGGTGATGGGTCCATCTCTGTATGGCATTGTCTTCCACGTTCCCGTCAAGCCTGTATCCTCAGTTTGATTCCACATCTCGCATAGTCTGAGCCCTGCCCTCAGAAGTGTGGCCCCCGGGCCCGTGATCGCCTTACGGAGCCTTGCTCCAGAGGTCATGGTGCTGCTAACAGGAGTCACCGGGATTTGGCATCTAGTGTGTGCCAGGCCCTGGCACGACAGCCTTTGCGGGAGACGTGTTATTCTTCCTAGTTTACATCCTGCCACCCAGATGAGAATGGGACCTAAACCCCAGAGGCTCAGGATTCAAACCCAGGTCTGTCTGGCCTCCAAGCCCACACCGAGCAGGCCAGTAACCTACGGCTCTCTCTGTGCAGTGAGTGGGAACACGGCAGAGTGCGCTTTGCTGCGTAAAAAGCACGCACACTTGTCCAGGAGAATGTGCCCAAGGAACGGCAGATCAGGAAGCCCTGTGGGCCCCAGTGGTGTGGGGCGAGCCGAAGGCAGAGGTTGGGCAGACGTGGCTGGGCAGAGTGGCAGCCACTCTGCCCATCGACCTGCTGGGAGCTCTGCCTGTGGCTTCCTTCTCCTGGGGCCACACGCCTGTGTCAGCAGCCACCGGGCTTGTCTCCAGGGGCTGCTTGAAGTCGGGGGAGGCCCAAGAGAGCTGGAGAGAAGGGAAGGGCCCGAGAGGCCCAGAGTTGGCAGGACCTGGCTGGCCCTCTGTTCTGGGTATTCGGGAGTGGGGCTGGGTTGGAGGGGCTGATGGTGCTCTGTGCCTGTCTACCCCCAGACTTCTGTGCTGGTGGTGCAGTTCGTCGAGGCCATCGTGGTGTTGGTACGGCAGACGTCCCATGTGCGAGTGACCCGGGCACTGCGCTGCATTTTCCTGGTGGACTGTCGGTACTGCGGGGGTGTCCGGCGGTAAGGCCTGGGGAACGAGATGGTTGCTATCCTGGCCTGGCCTGAACCTTCTGGGCCTGTGGAGCAGGACCCAGTGAGTCAAGTAGTGATAAGATGAGTCCTACACGCTGGGAGAACATAGCACGCTCACTTTTCCCAGCCTCTCAACCCACATGGAGCAGAAGGCGGGAATCTGCTCAGATTTTGGTTTCCTGGCACTGGGTCTGGGGCTCTCCCCTGTCTTACCTGCAGCTTCCTGGGGACTGGCTTCTCTCTCTGAGCACATCAGTTGCTCAAACACAGCAGTGGCGGCAGCCCAGCTCCAACTTGGCAGGCTGACACCCCCACTGAGCCTGGGGGCTGGACTCAGCCTGCCCACCAGCCTGGAGATATGCGTAGTTCTGAAGGATCCATCTGGAAAATCTCTTGGCTGGGACACAGTTGATGAGAGCAGACTAGCGGTTCATTCTTCAGACCCATCCTCAAAGCTGGAAGCCAGTGTCCCAGGAGCAGGTGGCCCCAAAATGTCTCTGTGCATCCCACATCCCGCTCAGGGAAGCTTGGTGCCTGAGGCCGTGCACTTGGCCTTCTGGCCTTCCCTCCGTCACTCACAGGGCCCTCGTCTTCTAGGGCTCCATGAGCAGGGAGAGGGGCTGCATGTGCCGCACCTGCCCCGGTCTTCCCCGTCACCTCCTGAGTGCAAGTCCTCTGGGAAAACGTGAAGCATGATGTCACAGACCAGGGTGCAGTGGGACTTAGTGTGTGAATCAGGAACCCCAGGTCCCCGTCTCACCCCTGGAGTCCCAGATAGCACTCCCCGCTTCACCCCTTCCTGTCCTGCTCTCTCCACAGCAACCTGCGCCAGATCTTCCAGTCCCTGCCACCCTTCATGGACATCCTCCTGCTGCTGCTCTTCTTCATGGTCATTTTTGCCATCCTTGGTGAGTCCCTGCACCCCAGGGCCCGGGCGGCCCCTGAACATCAAATCCACGGTTGAAGGAGCATTGACTTTGACAGTGTTAAAAGTCCAGAAAGGAAAAAACAAAACAAAACATCCAGAAAGGTCTCACAAGTGGTTCAACTCCCATGACCTTCAACTTAGGAGATCCACTATTAGGAATAAAACGGGAGCCATGCTGTATCTTTCCGCGAGGTCATTCCCTTTCCCATCAGAGCTCCCGCCCGACCTAGGCTACCATCGCACACACGTATCTCTATAGTTACACTTCCTGTTTCCTTAAACCACAAGTAAGTGCGATTGCTTTGCATATTGAAGCATCTTACATAAGTGGTCACGTAACGTGTGTGTGCCCTTCTGCGAAGTTTCTTCTATTTTCACTATTACACATCACACTGCTGGGAATGCTCGCACCATCTATGAGAGTTGGTCCAGGGTGTGTGTCTGGGGCGGGAGCATGTGCACACTTCAGCCTCCCCAGGTTCAAAAGCAAGATCATGGCCTTTCGAACCCTGGGGAAGCCTTGCCTCTTTAGATAAGGCCAAGTATTAATGTGACAGCCACATCCAGACACAGGGCTTAGACAGTAGAGACCCTGGAACATGGCTGAGAAGCCTGGAGTCTCTTCTCTGGTCCTGGGATGGCGAAGAGAGGGGAACCAGAGAGCCCTGCCTCTAAGGCCAGTGCCTCAGGCCCTTCTGATTGCTGTGTCCTGAGCCATTGGCTCCCGCATCACCTCCTGCCCTCTCCCCTACCACCCCCGGTCTCTACAGAATTCCCTTTCTGCTCCAAGGGGGCTACTTCTCCTGAGGTCAGAGCTTCTCCCCTTTCCCCACTCAGAACTTCAAGGACTCAGGGAATAGCCTGTTCCAAGAGGGAGGCTACTGGTGGTCCCACCCCGGGACCCTGGGCCATAGGAGAACAAGGGGATCCCTTCAGAATTGTTACTTGGCTGTCCTGTTCCCCACACCAAAATTGCAAACCAGCAGTCTGGTTTCCAAGTCCAGCCTTGGTCTGAAAATGTTGAGCCAACATTTAAAAATTAGATTTCTTGCCTGAAAATACAGATTTCCAGCCTTGAAAATTTTTTTAATCTTTTTTTTTAAATTAACAAATTGGAGATGGAATTGTCATATAACATCGTATTAGTTTTGGGGGCACAACGTAACGACTTGATACTTGTGTATATCATGATCCCCACATGGTTAATGTCCATCCCCATACGGTTACAGTTTTTTTTCTTGTGATGAGAACTTTCAAATAGATGATATATGATCTACTCTCTGAGCAACTTCCAAATATATGATAGTGTTGCTAACTAGCCATTGTGCTGTACATGTGGCCTTTTCAAACAGTAGACTCAGTGGTTCTTGGGTCACATTTCCAACGGGCAACATTTCTGCCATGTCCAAGCACACCTGCTCCTTCAGACAGAGCACGGAGTGTTTTCCAGAATGCCCGAGTCCCCACCACTCCCTGGTGCTCTCCCTTTGCCCCCCTGCACTCGTTTACATTTGTGCAATCCTTTGATGTCTGGGTTGGGGTCCTCTGCTCTAACCTTTTTTTATGTTTTCTGCCACCTTCTAGGTTTCTACTTGTTCTCCCCTAATCCTTCAGACCCTGTAAGTAATCTCTGTATTTGTCTTTCTTTTTTTGTTGTTACTCTTCGTGTTTTTAAAAATTTTTTGTTTGTTTGCTTGTTTTTAGAGAGAGAGAGAGCACATGCATGCATGGGATGGGGGGCAGAGGGAGAGAGAGAACCTTAAGCAGTTTCCACGCCAACATGGGGCTTGATCCCACGACCCTGAGATCATGACCTGAGCTGAAATCAAGAGTCAGTTGCTTAACCGACCAAGCCATCCAGGCATCCCTATCTATTTCCTTGTTTTATGTGGGGCCTTTCCCCTCAGGGGAATGTTTGACCACGGCCACATTAGGAAGGTCTCTCAGCATAATTTATGGCGCTGGAAAGCTCCTGTCACCCATACTTGAACTGCTCCCTTCTTTAAGCACCGAGGGAATCCCCCTTCCTGCCCTTGAGACACGTTTCCAGGATCATAGTCCCAGCCAGTTGTCTGCTTCTGCCAGAAGCACAGAGTTCAGGAAGGCAGAGGCGGCTGGACTCCACATTTGCTCCTTCCTCTGTCCTCCTCAGGATTCCTTGGGAGGAGGCAGAGTTGGTGGGGTGGGGAGGGGAGGAGCAGGCCAGGGTGCTCCAGGTGGCCCGTGGCAGCCTGTTTCTGGTGCCAGTGCATTCTTCTGCCTTCTTTCCCTACAGTACTTCAGCACGCTGGAGAATAGCATCGTCAGTCTGTTTGTCCTTCTGACCACAGCCAAGTGAGTGTGGGCTCTGCTTGGGCCTGGGCCCTCTTCCGGTGCCCCAGGTTCTTCTCTTTTCAGCCAAGAATGTTACACACCTGAGCGCAGACAGGTGCCAGGGGTTGGGGGTGGCCCGATGAGCTCAGAGCTCATGGACTGAGAGGAGGGAAGGCAGAAAAGAGAGATGTCCAGAAAAGAGGATGGAGAAAGGGAGAAAGATGTGGGGCCCTGCGGTAATGCTCTGCACATCCAGTTTCCCAGACGTGATGATGCCCTCCTACTCCCGGAACCCCTGGTCCTGTGTCTTCTTCATTGTCTACCTCTCCATCGAGCTGTACTTCATCATGAACCTGGTGAGTGAGCATACGTCTCGCCCCCTTGGAGCTGCTATCCCAGCCGGCACAGCACTGGGCACCGAGGGGATGAAGTAGAGACTGCTCGTGGCCTCCTTTGGGGAGGGGTCCCAGGCCGTGGTCAAGTGTGGCGTGGCGGCAGACGCCCTGCCGGGACCTGAGTTCCGCTGCTTACAGGGGCGTGGCCTCCCCGAGGTGGTGCTGCTGAGCTGTTAGCGCTGGAGCCAGCCCGCTAGGTTAGGCCTCCTGGGGCTGTTTGTTCTCCGGCAAACGCATCAGAGCAACTATAAAAGCTGGTTGGGGTGTTTGGTGGCCCAGTCTGTTGAGCGACCACCTCTTGATTTCAGCTCAGGTCATGATCTCAGGGCCGTGAGATCCGCCCCCTCCTTCCCCCCATCCCTGCACACACATGTGCTCTTGCTCTCTCTAAATAAATAAATAACTATGAACCCTGTGGCCAGGCACTGGGCAAAGTGCTTTATATATGAGGATTAAATGATTTATCACAAAACCCCTGGAACTACTATTACGATTCTCAGCATACCAACGCGGAAACGGGGGGCCAGAGCGGCACAGTGACTTGCCTGCAGCCGTACAGCGTGGGGCGGCCCGGTGAGCTGGTCGGAACGCGGAGCCCCGCTGCACCCACGTGTCTGTTTACCACCCCCCCCACCAACCGGGAGCCATCAGAAAAGCCAACACAGGGCACCCTCTGCTCAGAAGAACATGATGTCCCCGCGCACACTGGGAACTTTGGAGGTGTTTGCCGAGGCCCATTTGGCCGCCAGGAAGGTTCCTGCCATCAGCAGGTTGCCCCGAAGAGGAGGCCGTCAGGCCCACGTCGAGAGCACACATCAGTGCCAGAACTATCAGAGATGCTTTATCAAGTCTTGTGTTTATTTTTTTATTATTTTTAGTTTTTTTAAAGATTTTATTTATTTATTTGTCAGAGAGAGAGAGAGAGAGGACAATTGGGGAGTGGCAGGCAGAGGGAGAAGGGGACCTCCCCACTGAGCAGGGAGCCTGATACGGAACTCCATCCCAGGACCTTGAAATCATGACCCAAGCCGAAGGCAGATGCCTAATGGACTGAACCACCCAGGCGACCCCTGGGTTTATATTTTATTATTATTTTTAAGATTTTATTTTTAAGTAATCTGTACACTCAGTGTGGTGCTGGAACTCACAACCCTGAGATCAAGAATCATATGCTCTCCCAGCTGAGCCAGCCAGGTGGCCCAAGTCTTGTGATTATTTTTATACTTTCAAGAGCGTCCTTACCCTGCTTCCCACAGTCAGGCCCGGTGTAGAAATGGAAAGCACTTGCCCTGGGGTAGACTTGTGAAATGTCCTAAAAACTGGAAGTCTTAAAAAGGAAAATATTTTCCTTTTTTTAATTCTTTAAAACCAAAATGTTGGCTATCTATATACATGTTATAGTTATGTACTGTTGTCAGTTTAGAATCATAAAAATATATTCTGTGTGACTGATTTGCTTCAATTTGTAACATATTTAGAGCTGCGAAAATCTAGGGCATGGGTCAGCAACTGCAGCCTCCTGGCCAAAGCCAGCCCACCGCCTGTTTCTATAAATAAAGTTTTATTGGCCCACCGCCATGTCCATTTGTTTATGCATCATCTGTGGCTGATTCCATGCTACAGCTGCAAGGTTGAGTAGTTTTAACAGACACCATCTGGCCTTCAGAGCCTGAAATATTTGCTGTCTGTCCCGCTCTAGAAAAAGTTTGCTGACCCTCCCTTGATCTAAAGGGGAATGATGGTGGACCAGTTCAAAGGGATGGAAAAGACAAGAGAGTTTCCCTCGAAATATTTTCGAGAGGAAAAGAAAGCGTTTCCAAAAAAGCCTTCTTTGAATTCTGCTCCTGCCCTCCCAGTGCCCTTTGATAATGCAGACTGTATCATTAATATGCCAGCTCTGGAATTAGGCAGTCCGGGAATGTGGTGCCCTGGAGGGCAAACTGCCCCACTGCCCTGATTTCTGGGGCCATGCATGGAGCCGTGACTCACAGGGAACAAGGGGGGCCTGCGGGAAGAAGCATCCTGTGCAACCGTGCTCCTTCCTGTTTGGAGGTTGGGATGGACACAGGCTCTCTGGCCATGATACTGGGCCGAACTGGGTGTAGAACCCAGTGTGTTCCTTTCGCCGCTTCCCCTTAGAACACTGCCCAGCCTGTCGTGAGCTTGGGTGGAAAGGAGCACTTGGGGGAAAGTAGAATAATGACTTCATGTATCCAAAGAGAGAAAACTTAGAAATAGCCGTGGATGGCCTTCCCCCGCTGATGCTGAGAGACAAACTTCCTATATAAGGGGCAGGTGGGAGGGTCTTCTCAAGCCCCCCCTTCTGGGGTGGCTGGAACTGCCCAACCCCTTGAGGCCCCACCCAGCAGGGGAGCCAGGTCCTGTGTTCTTTGCTCTTAGCTTCTGGCTGTGGTGTTCGACACCTTCAATGACATTGAGAAACGCAAGTTCAAGTCCTTGCTGCTGCACAAGCGAACCGCCATCCAGCACGCCTACCGCCTGCTCGTCAGCCAGCGGGTAGGGACGGCTAGGGTGGGCCTGGCAGGGGAGAGGTTCCTGCTGCCCCTCACTTGCCCCGAGCAGCCCCCGAAGCATGGCAGGGCCAGCAGCCAGGAGTTGTGCCCCTGGGAGAACAGGGAAGAGCTGGGTGCCCTGGGATCCCTTGTTGTCCTTGGGCGTCCCCCCAGGGAAGGGGCAGGCTGGGCTCTGCATCTTCCTGCGTTCACACGGCCGTCTGCCCTGTCCCCGCAGAGGCCCGCTGGCATCTCCTACAGGCAATTTGAAGGCCTGATGCGCTTCTACAGGCCCCGGATGAGTGCCAGGGAGCGTTACCTGACTTTCAAGGCCCTGAATCAGAGCAACACACCTCTGCTCAGGTAGGACTGGACCAGGTGGGGCTGGGTGGCAAAGGCGCTTGTGAGGGGGAGCTGCAGCAGGCAAAGGCCCCAGCAGGTGGGGGGCAAAGACGCTTGTAGAGACGAGTTTTCCCCACAGAGATTCTTCTACATGTAGATGGTATCGTGCATCAGGTTTCTTTTCACAAGTAACAGAAGTCCAGCCCAAATCCAGTTCAAGCTGGCTTGACAGAAAAGGAATGCACAGGCTCATGAAATGGACCAGCCCCGCCACTTGCTCTCAGCCCTGAGCGCAGTGGGGTAATGCGAGCAGAGCCCCAGGGCCGGGTGGGTGCACATGCATACGCGCACACACTCACACGTAGGCTCTCAGCCCTGGCAGAGCCTCCAGAACCAGCCCTGAGATATGCATGGGCAGTCTTGGTGTTCCAGACCGCGGACGATCAGAACCCTTCTTTCTGGGCAAGGAAGCGGGCCAGCTTTAGAAACAGGAGTAACCGAGCTCCGTTTGGGCTGAACTCAGCCCCCGGTGTTCCATGAGGTCCTCTGCTAGTGGAGGCCTGTCTGTCTAAGAGTTACAGCCAGCCGGGGGCGATGAACGGTGTCTGTGGTCAGTGTAGATGAAGCAGATTCAATATGTGTGGCCTGGAGGGAGGAGATGAAATGCCCCCAGGTAAGGGTCCCTGGGGCCCCAAGGTGCTGAAACTCACAGGTGTCCCCTCCCCCATTGAAAGGACCACAGGTGGACAAGGGAGACCTGAAGCTCAGTGGGAACAGGTTCTGATTTTTTTTTAACCTTTTCATGTTGCTTACAACAGCCTAAAGGACTTTTATGACATCTATGAAGTTGCTGCCTTGAAGTGGAAGGTGAGCGCTTGTGCGTGTGGGACCAAAGACCAGAGAGCCGGAGACGGAGTAGGGCCAGCTGTTGGGGGGTGGGGGGGTGAGCCCCACTGCCCCAGAGGCCCAGCTCCTTCCCCGCTGGAGCACCTCTCAGCTCTCGCCTTGGTGCCCCGTACTGCAGGATTATAGGAGGCCCCCCACATGCCCTGACAGTTGCCCCGTAGCTTCCTCATTAGGAGCACTGAATCTCGGGTGGACCCCATTAGTCACGGACATTGGGCAAGTTACTGAACCTTCCCAAGGCTCGTCTGACCCGGGAAATGGCAGAACAATGATCCCTACCTACAGTCACCTTCAGGATTACACGAAAAGAAGGCATGTGCGTGGCACCACTTACAGGCTCCATGGACAGTGGCATCACGGTCATCCCTGAGTGTTTTCATTGTTCCCCAAGTTAGCCAGGGGCGCAGGGCAGGAAAGCGGCAGCCTGACCCCAGGGGCAAGGTTCTGCTCACCATACCTCACACCCCCTCTCCATGGCCCTGTCTCCTGGCCAGGCCAAGAGAAATCGAGAACACTGGTTTGATGAGCTTCCCAGAACAGCATTCCTCATCTTCAAAGGTAAGTTGACCTGAGCGTGACACTTGGGCAGCTGGGGAACAGATGGAGGCTTCCAGAGACCATAGACAAGCATTTGAAGAGCCTGCTCCCTGGGTGTGTGTGTACACGTGCGTCTGGATGTGTGTGTGTACACAGTGCGCTCACCCCAGCAGTTTTTAAAAAGGTTATAGGACTGCATTATCGATTCTCTTCTCAAACCTGCTTTTGGGCCTAATAACGGATTCCAGCCATCCTCCTATCACAGGATATATAGCGAGTGTAGACGGTCCCTGACATCATGCTTGCCCAGCATAAAATTCAAAATTCTCAAATCCAAGTGTTGCCCCTTAATTGAATGCCAGTTCTGAAGTTCTGTGGCGGGGTGTGGTTAGCTCTCGGGGGATTTCGAGTGCAAAAAACCTGAAGCCTGGGTGCGGGCCATTGGGAACAAGAGTCAGGATGGTGTAGCCTATTCTGTGATTTCTTCCGCAGCTAGGGCTTTGGGCACTACTGTTAGCCTATAGTCTTTAAAGGGTTTTCCATTCCATGGAGTGATAGTTACTCAAGTGGATGAACATAGTCCCGGGTCGAGGCCAGCAGCAAGTTAAGGTTAGCAGTGGCCAGCAAAGCTTCGCTCTGCTCCATTCTGGCTCCGAGCTGCCTGGGCTCTCCCCAGAGCAGCTGTTGGCTCTGTGCTCTTGCCCGAGCACAAGCGTGGGGTCGCTCTCAGAGCACGTCCTCCTTCCTCACCCCTGGGCATAAACGCCCCGAATGCTCATGTGTGCGAGGTGTGTGGTAGGGGGAAGTGTCCTTGCAAATGGAGATTTTGATGTTAACATGTCTTCTCTTCAAATAGGAATTAATATCCTTGTGAAGTCCAAGGCCTTCCAGTATTTCATGTGTAAGTGTGAAATACCACAGCTCCAGGCCCCATCCCGCCTGAGTCCTTCACGTTCCAGAAGGTGGAGAGGCAAGGGATTAGCGTGCCGCCGTGTGGTTGACTTTTTATTACAGAAAATTCCAAGCATGTGTAAAAGTGGGGAGAGGATAATGAGTGCCCACATACCCATCACCCAGCTTCAGCGGCTGTCACCCCACGGCCGGACTTTCTGTTTGTCTGTACCCACCTCGCTGGGGCTCATCATCCCCTCTCTAGACCCGGGGGTTTTGGAAGCACATTTCAGAACCACAAGAAGTGTTTGGTTGCTCTGTCACTTGAGTCGGTTTCAATCTGTAGGTTTCTCTTCCGTCCCTTTTCTCCATCTTGTGACACGGAGTTGAAGAAACAGGACTGTTGGCCTTCAGTCTTGTCTTTGCATGTTCCTCTGTGGTGTATTTCCTGTCATTCCCGTCATCCAGTGGTTACATCTAGAGCTGTGTTTTCCAGTGTGGTAGCAATTTGCCAGGTGTGGCTATTTAAATTTAAGCAACTAAAATGAAAAGAGCCACAGTAGCTACATTTCAAGTGCGCAGTCACTGCAGACAGCTAATGACTACCAGATGGGCAGCCCAGAGGAGGCAATTTCCATTGTCCTAGGAAGTCCTCTTGGACAGTACTGATGGAGCGTCCTGATGGCGTTCAGTCTTTCTAAGGAACTCTGGTTCCATTTAGTGGGAAATGGTGTTTAGACACCACAGTTTGAAACGCTGAAGGTGCTCATGGCTTGGAGTTGGTTATTATTTCTAGGCCTCTCCATGGACAGAGGTGGGATTTTGTTTTTAAAGATAAACCATATCAGGAGTTGATCCTGACTTTTCTAACTCAAATCCAGGACTACTGCGTTTTTACCAAACTTCCTCACCCTTTCATACCCAGATCCCACCCCTGGCCCTCTCTGTCTTAAAATCCTGGTTCCCAATACCACTCACACAGTTACTCATTCGCTGTACCCCACAGTAGACTCATAACCATCTTCAGATGGCGATCCCAACACAGTCCCAGCAACACAGAGACTAGAACACCCCCCCCCCCAGGGACATATGTACACATGACACATGTTAAAGTCATCTGTAGTAGTCCTTTCTCCATGTGGCGGTGTCACCACCTGGACACACATTTAGGTTTCTTTATTTCATTTTATTTTTGATTTTCAGGGATTGCTTTTTTGACATCTTTGTTTTATACTTATGTAAATTGCCTACGTGGTTCCAAGTCAGATCTACAAAACAAATGTATTTAAGGATATCTCATTTACATCCGGTCAAACCTCCTCCAATGGGTAACTTTTATTTTGGTTTCTTCTTCCATTATTTAAAAACTATAAGTAGATATATATGTGTTCCTATCCCCATGTCTTAACTCAACGATGGCATACTTCATATACACTTTTTCCCGCTTTGCTTTTTTCCCTTAACCACATATCCCAGAGACCACTCCCCATTGATACAGGGAGATGTCCCTCATTTCTTTCTAGACTTGATGCTTCACCGTTTCACGAATGTGTCATAGTTGATCCAACCAGTCCGCTGCTGATCATTTAGGGCACTTCTAGATTTTTGCTCTCATGAACAGTTCTCCAGCAAATAGCTTGCAGGACACGTTGTTTTGTGTTTTGCTGTTATCTCATGGGGGTGGATCACTAAGAAGTGGGGCTGGTATTTAAAAGGCCAAATGAATATGTCATTCTGCTAACTAGTTCATGCAGTCTTAAAATCACCTGTCTCTAGGGAAGGGCAACCATTTTAATGTGCAAATGTCTTTTACACTGACATGGAATGGCCTGTAGGATTTACTGAGACCGCTGGTATCCCTACGGCGACATAGAGCATGCTTCTGGAAACCTGTGGCTGTTTTCCGAGTGAAACCACTGGTTGATGTAGCTCCTGTGAAAGCACTGATCTATCCCATGGGTGTGTGGAGCATCTCCTGGGGGCTGCTGGGAAAGTCTCTAGGGGGCTACAGTGCTGAGCTGTAGGTTTGTACACCCATCCGTGTTTTCTCTCTTACGGGCCTATCTGTTTGCAGACCTGGTGGTGGCCATCAATGGGGTCTGGATCCTTGTGGAGACCTTCATGTTGAAAGGTGAGCCCTGGCCAGGGGACCAGCCGGTCCTGTGGGCACACCTGCCGCCCCCTCGCCCCACCTGACCTCCCGCCTCTTGTCTCACAGGTGGGAACTTCTTCTCTAAACAGGTGCCCTGGAGTTACGTCGTCTTTCTGACTAGTAGGTTTCTGAACGTGGCTTTGCTGAATTGCTTGTCTGAAACCCTGGCCTGGGAGGGGATACCTCAGAAGGGCCTCGGTTCCCACGCAGGCCGGGTGTGGGAGGGGCTGGGGTCAGGCCGCTACTAACTGCCTCCTCCTGTTCCCAGTCTATGGCGTGGAGCTGTTCCTGAAGGTTGCTGGCCTTGGCCCCGTGCAATACCTGTCCTCCGGGTGGAATCTGTGAGTGGACTGCGTGTTTCTTAACCATGGCCGAGACCGAGAGGGCCGTGGGTCCGCTCCCTACACACCCACAGCATGCGTGGTGGTCTGCAGTGGCCGGAGGAGGGGCCAAGGACAGGACAAGGCCTTTGTCTCCAGGAAGAGTTCTGCGTGTGGTCTGGGACTTGCCAGCATCAGGCCCTTGTCCTACTCTCTCGGGCCCTCCTTGCGCATTCCTCCTAGACATGGCCTCTCTCTTTTTTTTTTTTTTTTTTTAAGATTTTATTTATTTATTTGAGAGAGAGACAGTGAGAGAGAGCATGAGAGAGGAGAAGGTCAGAGGGAGAAGCAGACTCCCCAAGGAGCTGGGAGCCCGATGCGGGACTCGATCCTGGAAGTCCGGGATCATGACCTGAGTCGAAGGCAGTGGCTCAACCAACTGAGCCACCCAGGCGCCCCTAGACATGGCCTCTTTAGGAGCCTTAGGCTGGCTGGCTCTAACTAGTCATTTAGTCCCTGTGCCCATCGTTGACAACTAAGCTCTTTGCTCCTCCGTAAAAACCGTGATTCCATCAGAGAAGGAAGCTCCCCCACCCACTTCGTTCAGCCGCTAGCTGGGGGTGGTGAAGAGACCCGAGCAGCTCTCGTCCCCGTTCCACAGAGACCTCCAAGGCCACTTACCATCCACTTAAGTGAACTTACCCACGAAATTAGGCTATACTCATGAGGCCTGGGTCTTGACAGAGGAGAATCCAGGAAGAGCAGTGGGGGGCTGAGCACCGTGCTGCCTTCGGGGTCTCCGCGCATGTCTGCAGGGAGGGAAGGCCCCCTGTCTCGAGCAGGGCTGGCTGTCTGGCCTTGTGGGGAATCCAGCTGCCCATCCTGCCCCTTCCCTCAGTGACCTCATCGGGGTCAGAGGTCACCCATATAACCCAACATCTGCCATTAGACCAGTGCAGGACCTTCGAGCGTTGGAGGGGGAGGTATTTCCTGGGCATTTCTGATCCCCGCTGTGTATGCTGTGCCTGGGGGTCCAGCCAAGCCGGCCTCAGAAACCCCAGGGCAGTAGGAAGCTGCTTCCTGAGCTGTGCAGCTGCAGGCTGTCACTCTTACTGGGGTCAGCATGTGGGTTCCCTGGAAGGCAGCACTGAGAACAGGGCTGGGGAGCAGGGAGCGCGGGAGGGAGGTGGGCCCGGGCAGGCCGAATGGACCTTGCTTCTCCCTCTCCCTCCCAGGTTCGACTTCTCGGTCACAGTGTTCGCCTTCCTGGGACTGCTGGCTCTGGCCTTCGACATGGAGCCCTTTTATTTCATAGTGGTCCTGCGTCCCCTCCAGCTGCTGAGGTGACAGGGGCAGGGGCAGGGTGGGGAAAGCCTTGGGACTGGTCTGGGAAGTGGCACGATGGTGCCAGAAGATTCACGAGCCTGGTGTCAGAGACGCACCCCACTGTGGAGGCACCTGGCTCCTGTCTCCAATTGTGGGGGCGTGTGGCTTGCCCATCTCCCCACTTCACGGGTGACAGTTGCCTCTGACCGTGGAGGGGAAGCATGGCCTGTGGTGCGGGTGACCTTGGCCTGCAGCCACAGAGACACGCATGCTCAGGGTCATAAACCAGAAGGCCACAGCCTCTGAGGGTGCAGGGGGATTTTGGGGGGCCCCCAGGGCTTTGTGGCACAGCATCTTGTCAAGAAAAACCCTCCCTGGGTCTCCGCTTTTCTGCAGAGACGGCTGTGGGGCACTAGTAAGGCACTACTCCATGGAACCCCTTCCCACCTGGGGGTCCTGAGCTCTTGGTATCTCCAGTGGATTGTGGTATCCAGCCACGATCCCATATGTGTCCTTCCTGGGAGGAGAGGTGGACGTGGGCATGGCGATCGGGGGCAGTGTTTCTATCTAGAAGAACCCGAAGCTGTGCCCCTGTGGTGGTGGCCGGGGGTGGGGGGATGTCTGCTTCCTCCCCACACACCGTGGCCCTTTCTTGGCCGCCGAGCCGCTGTGCCCCCGGTTCCTCTGCAGGCATGGCTTCTGTTCCCTTCTTGCCTCGCTGTGCCGGGTGAGGCCTTGTCTCTCTCGGAGCCTCCTGGTTCTGTTGCTGACCAGTGGCAAACAACCACGGCTGCCTCTTCCACCAAAGAAGAGGCTGGGGAGATGCCCCCGGGCCGGCAGCAGGGTGGGCGGCAGGGCTCAGGTGGGCGAGAGGTCCAGGCCGTCCTCCCCCGTCTGTGCTGGGGGTGGGGGCTGCGGCTACTCTGAACGCCACCCGGTCTCTTCCTTCAGGCTGTTTAAGTTGAAGAAGCGCTACCGCAACGTGCTAGACACCATGTTTGAGCTGCTGCCCCGCATGGCCAGGTACCGCCCGCCTCTCAGCCCCCGGGGGGCAGCTGGGTGGTAGTCGGGGGAGAGGAGGCGGCCCGCAGAGGACTGACATCGAGGGTCTGACGGGTCTCCAAGGAGACTGAGCTGTTGACCACCACAGGTCTCCCTGGTACCACTTTCCTCCACTGACCTGTCTGAAATACTGAGTAGGGAGGGCAGGGAGCTGTCCACTCACTTACCACCTGTGTCTACATTCACAGGTAAGGGGTCACCTGTGAGTCTACCTTCACAGGTAAGGGGTGAATCTCCGGTAAGGGGCATCTGTTAATAGAGTCCTGGCTCGAGCCATTTTTGACCCCAGACCTGAATCACGAGGCCCCTCGCCTGCAGGCACTTTCCAGTCGGTAAACCTGGCTAGGGGCATGCCTGTCCGTCAGTCAGCGCAGGGGGTCTGAGGACGTGGGGCTGCCGGAGGCGCCGGTCTCTCCTGCCTGGCCCCTAGTCACCCTGTCCCTTCTGACCCTCCTCCCCAGCCTGGGCCTCACCCTGCTCATTTTCTACTACTCCTTCGCCATCGTGGGCATGGAATTCTTCTGTGGAATCCTCTACCCCAACTGCTGCAAGTGAGTACGCAGCGGCCCGCCCGCCCCGCCCGCCCCCAGGCAGCCCGTGTTTCCCGAGGCCCCAGGCCAGGACCGGCGTGCTGGCACCAGCCCCTCTAAGCGGGTCCCCCGCAGCCTTGGGGGCCGCAGGGACACAGTCTCTGAGCCACAGCACCCTTCGAAGTCCCTGGAATCACTTTGCTTTGCTTTCCGGGGCCTTAGTTGAATACAGTAGCCACGTGAGGGATCTGGAATCAGAGGGCTGTCTCTGAAGCGAGGACATCTGAACAGGTTTCCCATCCCCTTGCCCTTGCCCTTGGGGCTGAGGTCTGAAGGCCGCCCCTCAACCAGGAGCAACCTGAGGCCCGACTTCTTTGATTTCCTCCCGCTTCTCTGGGGGCGATGGGGACTCGGCAGACACATCGGCTTGGGCCTCCTGGCAGCATTAGGCCGATGGACACCCACGGGAAGGCCTTTGGGGGCGGTGTAGAGCGTGGAGAGTACAAGCTCCCATGACCCCTCCCTCCTCCACGCCACCACAATGAAGCCAGTGTGCTCGGACAGTAATTCTCCAGTCAGTGTTCTCCAAACTTTAGCCCATGAGGCCTCAAGCACAAACTCCTTCCAAAGACACGGGCAGCCGTTTTGAGTGTTAGGCTGGGCTCAGAACCAGGCCGAGAACAGCGGGCCACAAACTCCACAGTGGGCCAGAGCCCCCAGGGCAGCTGCCCAAGGCCCAGGACTCTGCATTCTGAACAAGTTCCCCGGGGGCCCAAGGACCAGACACGTGGAAACATCGGCATGAATGTTAACAGAACCGACAGAAAGGACTGGAAGGAAAATGCAAATAAGCTCTTAGAACAGGGGCAGCCTTTGGAGCAGCCTTTGGAGCATCCCGGCCTGGTGCTGGGGCGAGCCTGGCTTTCTCAGGGTCAGCGGCGTCACTGTCCGGCACCCAGGCCCCAGAGCAGATCGCAGGTGGGGAGAACCAGGGGAGACACTGCCCTTCTCTCCCTCCAGCGGCTGGGAGGGAGATGGTTTCCCTGGTGGCAGAGCAATGTCCAGTGGACGCAGATAAGCAGGGGGCAAGCCCAGGAGTCCCCAGCAACGCCCAGCTGGTGAGAGGAGCCAAGGGCCACCCTTGAGCCAGGAACGTGGGCCGGAGAGCTGGGGGCTGGGCCAGGACGGGGGCTCCCGGGTCAGAGCTTGGTTCACTTAAGCGTTTTGTCCTCTGTCGAGGTGACCGATTTTCTTGTGACCTTCCCTTCTGCCCCTCTGTCTCCCTGGCCAGTACGAGCACTGTGGCCGATGCCTACCGCTGGCTCAATCACACCGTGGGCAATAGGACTGTTGTGGACGAAGGCTACTACTATCTCAATAACTTTGACAACATCCTGAACAGCTTCGGTGAGTGCAGAGGCCACAGGCGGCACAGTCCCCAGACCCACTGCCTTTGTCAGTCACCGCGGGCCCCAGACGCGACCTAGCAGAGCTGTCTGAGGCCTCCCGGGTCCTCTGGAGCCTCAGCAGGGCCAGTGGTTGGCCCCACCGCAGGGAGGCCGGGCCAGATCCCAGCACCCACTTACCACCAGCTTTCGTTCTGGGGAGCAGAGAGCTCATGCTTTGCTCTGAAGGGGACAGCCTGAGGCCAGGGGACCCACCCCCACTCACAGCCCCACAGTTGCAGGGTGGGATAGCCACACCAACCTGCCACAGTGCCCTGCACTGGCCCCAGCTCAGGTCCACACAGTGCTGCTCCCGTGTTCTGTGGAGAAGCTGGGGCAGGGGCAAGGGCAGGGGTAGGACACGGCTCAAGAGGAATGGGAGCCCCTCATGGCATCCCAGAACCACAGCAAGTCAGGTCCGAGTGCTCTTTCCCCGCCACCCGACCCCAGCCCTGGTTCATCCCAGGCTGCTGAGGCAGCAGGCACGCCCTTTGGGAGACAGGCCAAGCTGGCAGCACTGTGGGGTGGGCGCTCAGGGAGGGCCTTGGGATGTACAGCCCACGCTGCCAGATGAGGACGCCATCATTTAGCTGTGTGGTACCCCGGACACATGGAGAGAGGCCACTTGAAACAGATTTGGAAAAAGTGAGTCTCATTCTCCCTTCCTTTTGGCAGTGACCTTGTTTGAGCTCACGGTTGTCAACAACTGGTACATCATTATGGTAAGGACCTTGGTCAGCTCCTGGGGGCATCCTCCCGCCGTCCTCTGAGGCCAGCTCTGGTCTTGCCTGGCCCCTGATGGGATGTATCACTCTTCTACGCTCTGTCGGGGTTGGGGGCCTGGGTCACACCGGGTTGGGGTTCTGCCCAGAGCCCACGGTGCAGGCTGGGCCCCAGGAGCCACCCCTCTGCATTTACATCCCTGCCCCATGCGTGTCCCCTAGTGGCCTGGAGATGCCAGTTAGCGTGTGGGTCTCTAGCCTCCCACCGCTGTCAAGGAGCAGTGTGGCAAGGGTTGTTAGGTTTTGTTTTCCATTCCTTAAATTCTTCCAAGTCTTCCACCCCTGCTTGGGACAAAGACTGCCTGTGTCAGTGGTGAGCCCTGCCACCCTGGGGAGCGTCCAAGGCTCATGCAGCATGGAAGTTTTTAGACCCTGGGAGTGAGACCACCGCCCCCCCCGCCCGTCCTGTGTCTCCCACAACCCCAGGCAGATCGGGCAGGGTCTGTAAAGAGCATGTTGGGGACTGTGGAGTGGCCCAAGTGCACAGTGACCCGGCCCCGCTCGGGCGCTCACTCACTGGCCACCTCCCCGTGTCCCCAGGAAGGTGTCACCTCTCAGACCTCACACTGGAGCCGCCTGTACTTCATGACTTTTTACATCGTGACCATGGTAGGTCCCTGGCCACGCTCTCTGCCCTTCAACACTCAGAGTCTCCAGCCGCCCCGCCTGGTGGGCGGCCACCGAGGGACGAGGGGCCGGGACGGGGGTCAGCATCTGACCGAGCTCAGGTCCTGACCCCGGGCGGGTCCTGCAGCAGCTCATGCACCCCTTCCCGCTCTCTGCGCCCGGCCAGGTGGTGATGACCATCATTGTCGCCTTCATCCTCGAGGCCTTCGTCTTCCGAATGAACTACAGCCGCAAGAACCAGGACTCGGAAGGTCTGTGCGAGCAGCCGTGGCCAGAGCCTTCCCACAGGCTGCCTGGCTGCCCGGCTGTCTGGCTGTCCAGTCCTGCTGTCTGGCTGTCCAGCTGTCCAGGCTTCTGGCATTTCAGCATATCTGTCTGGTTTATCTGTTACATCTCTCATGTGCATTGGTTTTCAGATTCTTGTTTTTTGATTTTCAAATACTTGTTGATTGGAGAAGGCTCTTGAGATCATGTTCAAAATAAAAGCAGTCCATGTCCGAGATTAGAAGAATCGCAGAGCAGAGACAGGCCTATTGTGAACACAACAGCCTTCTGGCTGTCCTTTCCGCTGTGACCTCCGCATCTCTAAATCACATGGTCACAGTGGGGTTCTATATTGAAAGGGTGTGAATGCCGCACCAGTGGCTCCTCCTCCTGCAGCTGGATGACCGCAGCTCCAGTAATGGCCTCGCCTCTTCCAGGGTGCAGAGCTTTGTGCGTACCGATCCTTCCAGATTCTCCATCAGAGCCGCTACAGACCTGTTCTTTGTTTCCAAATCTGTCTTATCAGGCCATCTGACCGTTTTGACTCAGAGACTCCCTGCCGAAACCCTCTGTCCCCTATAAGCTGCTGGCCCAGCCAGCGTCCCCAACATCTGCAGCAAAATGAGGGAAGGGATGTGCGTGCCAGACAGTGAGGGTTTGGGGTGGGGGGCGCCATGCTGGTGCAGGTTTTCTCAGAGAAGGAAACTTAGGACGCCTGACGGGGCTGCAGGGAAGAGGGCCGAACCAGGCCAAGCCAAATCGGGAGGCTCTGAGCCCCAGGCTCCTTCCCAGCCCTGGCCTCCCCTCCCACAGTTGACAGCGGCATCACCCTCGAGAAGGAAATCTCCAAAGATGAGCTGACTGCTGTCCTGGAGCTCTACCGGGAGGGGCGGGGAGTCACGTCTGACATGGCCCGGCTGCTCAAGGTCCTCTCCCAGATGGAAAGGCACGAGGTGAGGAGCCGTGGGGCTGCCTCCGACAGAGGGGCAGGTTTTGGCTTAGTGGAGGGCCTGCCCCGCTTGGGCCCACCCCAAGCCTCTGCTCCTTTTTTTAGCAAAACACCGTGGTGTTTCTGGGACGGAGATCAAGGACCAAAAGTGACCTGAGCCTAAAGATGTACCAAGAGGAGATTCAGGTAGGAGCGCCCCTGCCCCTACTGCCTAGACCCTCCCAGCTCCTGCCTAGGGTTGGGCCTCCCTGCTGCTGAGCGGGGATGCCCCCTGTCCCTAACCTGAGTGTGCAGGCGGGGAGGCTCTAGTGGGGATCGGGGCCATCCATTGGGACCGCAGCCAGTGGGTCTGGGACGCAGGGCTGGGTGGAGCTCTGGCTCGGCTGTGAACCCTCGGCCCTTCGCCACCACGAGCAGCTCTCCCATATGGCCCTGCTGCTTGAGCATTCTCCAGAACCTACCCCGATTCTTACTCTGAGCCAGAGTCACAAGCATGGCATGCACAGCAGGGGACGTCGTGGCCAAAAGGCTGCAGGGGCCTGGAGAGCTGGCAAGGGCAGGGCTCGTTGGAGGGGGTGGCCTCTGCTCAGGGCCATCAGGTTCTCCGTTTGAGGTTTTTGTTGTTGTTCTAATTTAAGAGAAGGGAGAAGTCAAATTTTTTTAAGTAAAATTTCCCCATCTTTCCACATCAGCAGCTAAGTAAGCGAGCTTGTGAAGCACTACGGGGGCCAACGCCCCACATCCCCGGCAGACCCCACAAAGCGCAGGCCACCAGCGCTCGAGCTCTGCTTTGGCTCTTCTCTTTAGCCTCCGGGTCCCAGGGCTCGGGGGAGGGTCTCCCACACCACCCATCGTGCCTCTGCAGTTTCTGGCATCCTCACAGCTAGAAATCCCTCTGTTTCCACGGGGACAGTGATGACCACTGCCCACGCCCAGAAGGCAGGGAGGCTGCAGCTCCCCGAACTGACTCACACAGTCCTGAGAACACGCACTCAGCTGCTGTCCTTTGTCCTCTGCCCATGTGTCCCCTTCTGGCCTCAGTGCCCCCCTCTGTACAGTGAGGGGGCACAGAAAGAAGGCCATCTGAGTCTTGTTTAAGCTCTCAAGTTCTGTGGCTCAGATTTTTTGAACATGTAAGTCAGCTTCTCTGATTCCTTAATCACCTGAACACCCGTCTCTGAAAATGTCAGACGACATAACAATATGGGTCTTAGGCGGGTTAATTTTTTTTTTTTTTTTGCAAAATCATGTCACGGCCTTACCTGGGGGTTACCAAAAGCAACGTGGGAGTTCGGAGAGGCCCTCACCGTCTTCCAGCTTCATAAAACTACTAAGCCTCGGTTTTCTCAGGTGTATCATGAGGACATGGTTCCTGCCGAGCTGCCTGTCCTGTTATCCCGGATAACACCCGGGAATCCCTTTGTGAAGGACAAAAGTTTATGTTCACAACCAAACAGAGGGTGATGATGAGTACCTGGGCTTTGCTTAAAGAGACGCTATGTGCTATGTGCAAAGGAGAACATTTATAAGGAGGCTTGCAAACCTCTAATCAATAAGGGAAAGATTTCACAGTAATTTTTCTTTCTTTTTTTTTTTTAAGATTTTATTTATTTATTTGACAGACAGAAATCACAAGTAGGTGGAGAGGCAGGCAGAGAGAGAGGAGAAAGCAAGCTCCCCGCTGAGCAGAGAGCCCGATGCGGGGCTCGATCCCAGGACCCTGGGATCATGACCTGAGCCGAAGGCAGAGGCTTTAACCCACTGAGCCACCCAGGCGCCCCTTCACAGTAATTTTTCTATCTGGGCCATCTGCAGAATTCCCAGCAGGTCCGGGGGTGTCCTGAGTAAGGCTGGCTCCCACTGGCCGCTGTGTACCCCGGGCAGTTGGGGGGGTGCTCTCCGGGCTGGGGCAAGCGCGGGACTGGCGGGGAGGGGTGCAGGCTGCTCAGTGCCCCGTCCGCGTTCTGCTCTAGGAGTGGTACGAGGAGCACGCCCACAAGCAGGAGCAGCAGGAGGGACCGCTCGGCGGCAGCGGCTGGGGCGCCGCCACCCAGCAGCTCCTGGGCAGCCGCCAGCGCTCCCAGACCGTCACCTAACTCCAGTGCGCAACAGCCATCTCGTCTATGCAATAACGCAATAGTATTATTTTACTACGACGTATGGAAAAAAATGCGTGTGTGTGTGTGTGTGTGTGTGTACACGCACACGCATTCATATATATGCACATATTTATATATAGGAAGAGAAAAAGACAAGATGGGGCTTGGTGTGTAACCACCCTGCCCTGCTTTTCGTAACCCCAGAGGTCACTTTGGTTTAAGGGGTCAGGCCGCCTGTGAGCTCTTCCTAATGTGGAAGGTTCCAGAAGGCCTCTTCAGAAGACCACTTGGATAGATCCTGCCGATCTCTGCAGGGCTCGCCTTCAAAGTGGGTCAGCCCTCCCTAGGCCAGATCCAAACCGTCTTCCCCACGCTGCTCTCACACTTGCGTCCCAGCTGACGGCTTCCCCACTAACTTTCCCTGCGGCCTACGTCATGGGGTGTCTGTGGCCTGCGTTAGGGACACAACCACTTAGTATGTGGGTTAGTATTTCTCTATATATGATAATATAATAGAACATTCCTTCGGGGGACCAGTGCCTAGGACCTAACGGATAGTGTAATCAAGGGGTGTGATCATACCCACACGGTCGGATCTCGGCCAGTGCTGGGCAGTGCGAGAGTGTGCGTGATTGCACAAGATTGTGCGAATTTCACATCCCAGCTCTGTAAGTCTTCCCTCCCATACTTTCTTTGGTTTAACTCTTGCAGCTGCAGATCCTTCTAAAATAGCCTCCTTTAGGATCTCAGGAGGAGAGCAAGCAAAAGGCCGGGCTGATGGCTTCCGGATGCATTCCTGAGATGGGCTTTCTCCACTCGATCCCTTTTCCTTGGGATTACCTTGTTGAAGCAGGTAACCTTGTTGCTGAAGACAATGGCAGATCCTTCACACTGTGCATTAGGTTCTGCTGCTAGAAAGGGGTGCACAGAGCTGATACTCACCCCGGGGGGGGGTGGTGGTCCATGGCAGGCCTGCGCCTGAGCCCCTGCTGGTCCACTGGGACAGCTCCCCTCTGCCCCCACCTTAAGCAGTCCCCTCCGTGGACTTGCCCCAGGGTTTTTCACTGGCACAGCTAGCTTCAGGTGAGCCCTTGGTTAACCGAGGACCCCCATATCTTGGGTGGGTGGGTTCTCCTGAGTTCAGCTTGGTTGGGTAGGACTGGTGCTTGAATCCAGGGCGCACGTTGGGGTGGGCAGCCTGGTGAGCGCTGTTGGCGGCAGCAGAAGCAGGGTCAGAGCAGAGGGAGTTCTGGTTCAGCTCCGCTGGGCTGCAGACCTAGCATAGGGCAGGAGGCGGAGGCGCTGGGATGAAAGGGGTCGGCTGGGGGCAGGGGCATCCCGGTCTAACCCCAGCTTTCCAGATGCCTCCACTGCCTCCCAGGACTTAGGAAGGTGGGTGGGCAGAAGTCTCTCCCTGCCATGCCCTCTTCCTAGCAGGGCATGGCCTGATCCCAGGGGTGCCATCCTGGTGCCCTGGAGGGGCTGATTCCCAGAGCCAGCACTGCAGAGCTGTGCCCCTCACCAAGGCAGGAGTGGCAGGCATTTGTTTCTGTTTTTAAAGCACAGCCCTTTAGGGAAACAATGAACCAGGGAGATCCCCATGGGGCATCAGGAGACTGGCATTGTCCTCTCTGGCTCTGGAGGGCCACCAGGCAGCACACGCAGCTCTGCACCGAGCCCCAGGCCTGAACCCCTTGCCTTCTCCAGAGAAGGAACTTTATTTATAATTTGCACAATTGGGTGCCTTTTAGCCTTTGTGTGTTGAAATGGGTATTTTGGAATCAGGAGTCAAGGGATAGCTTTCAAAGGAGGATAGGTCCTCTGCCCTGAGTGTTTGAGCTTCATTCTAGTCCTTTCCCCTGGTGAACCAGGGAGGGGTGCCAGGGGAGTTCAGGCCCCTCGTGTGGGGGTGGTACCAGCCCCAGTCCTCTGAGAAAGACCCTGATTTTAGCTAGATGGGATGAATGCAGCAGCCGTTGCGCTGCAGGCCAGACTCTGGCCAGTAGTGGGCGCTTGTCATTGAGGCTAAGGACAGCTGGCCCTTTGGGGTCACCTAGGCCTGTGAGATCTGAGGGACCTGGGACATCATCCAGTTCAGATGCCCTCTCACCATCCACGTCCTAGCCGAATGAAACCAAGGTCAAACCAACCTGCCCTTGGCCATGATGGCAATATGCCCCTACCCCACTTTGGAGGGACACCACCTGGTCCCTCCTCCTCGCCTCCCTCCCCGCACCCAGCCTTACTCCACACCACGTGACAATCATTTTGTATGGATAGTGGGAGCAACACTGTAAGGTTTTGTACATTGGTGATTTGTTACCTAGAAAACCCACTGTGTCTCCAGATTTCTGGCATATTAATAAAAAAGCCTCTGCTTTGTAAATGTGGCTGCCGCCTCGTGACTTCCCCCAAGTGACGTTCTATGGGTTCCAGTACCGTGGGGAAAGGTGCGAGGTCCCATCCACAGTTGTTCCCGACCCCACCTCAGGCCCAAGCCTTTGGCCTTGGAACCAACCCCTCCTCCCCCGGCCCAGGTAAGGAAGAACCCATAAGAGATGGGTGTGCTGCTTTCTGGACACTTCAAATATTTAATAATTTTTTCACTGGAAAAAAAGACATTTGAATCGCCTTGCTGCTGCCGGCAGAAGGCAGTCGGGCAAACTTAGAGCTGCTTCTTGAAAAGGCAGGTCCGTAGCTGACAGCGGGAAGGCACTGGGGAGCACCCGCTCCGTCCTCCCTAGAGCTTCCGGGCCTTGGCACCCCGGCCCAGGGCTCCTCCTGAGGTAGGACAGGGCATGGTCCAACTGATGGCTGTTGCACAGCTGGGGAAACCCAAGTTCAGGGCACAGAGGAGTCTGCCAGCAGCCAGCAGGCCGTTCTAGAGGTAGAGGCTAGAGCTGTGCCGTCCAAGCCAGTGGCCGTACTCGGGCCGGGGCCATAGGCTGACATTTTGGAGCCGTTCACTAATGCATATAATATAGGACCTGTTTCTTTTGGCTTTTATTAACATGGCGACTAGAAATTTCAAAATTCGGTATGTGTCTCACGTTCTAGTTCTTTTGGATGGTGCAGCTCTAGGACTCAGACCGGGATGGCCAGACGCTCACTGTGTTCTGCCCACCCTCTGAGTTGCCCCGTCACCCTAATAAGCCCAGGCTTGGCGGTGGTCTGAGTGAGCCCTGAGGAGAAGATGCAGGAAGGCACTCAGGCTCCAAGAGGCTCCACAGATAAGCCAAGGAAGTCTACCTTCTGTCCGCAGCTTTGTCCACAGCACAGCCCCGTCTCCAATGTCCCAGAAACAAGGCTTAGGTGTTGTCCCTGCGCAGGGCGACAACCAGGAACCTCCAGCAGAGGCAGGGGCCCCCCAGCAGCCAGACGTCCATCTCGCCGCCTGCAGTGACACCTCCTGGCCACCAGGCGGCCCCAGGTGCAAGGCGGCACTCAAACACTTTTCAAGCGAATCACCCCAAATTCCGTCAGCAGGGCCACCACGAGGAAGCTCCCATAGAAGAGGAGCAGGCAGAAGCCGTAGACTCTGTTCAGCTGGAAGCACTGCAGCGGGACCGAGACCAGGGAGCAGACGAGGCTGAGGCCCAGGGCGCCCGCTAGGACCCACACCAACAGTCCATCTGGCTCCAGCTGTGGGGGGAATGGGGGAGGGGGAGAGGCTGGGTCACTGCAGCCACCAGCCAGTGCAGCACTTCCGACCCCTCTGGCCCCTCCCCATCTTGAAGTTTCCTGCTTCCAGTGCCCTAACTTGGGGTCCCTTGTCATGCGGCCCTGGGACGCTAACACAGGCAGTGACATACACACAGATGTTGAAAATTCCTCAGGCCACACAGAAGAGTAAAAAGTGAAGTTGTCCTCTCCCCACTTCCCTTCCTTCCACCCTGGGGACTGTACTGGGTGTGTTTCCCGCACCATTTAGGCTCTCATCTTCCCACCCGGCTGTGCGGGGAGCGCCATGACCCCCAGGACACACACGAGCAAACTAGTGAGCGAAGGACAGAGCCCAGATGGACGTCCAAGCTCTGAACAACACCGTCTCCTCCTCCCCACACAGTGGTGTAGCTGCACACACGTGAGTGGGGACACACACGCACACACATGCACACACACACCAGACTGGCACGGCAATTCGGAAACCAGAAATGGAATCGCTCGCTGGGCAGTGTTTAAGAGCTGCCTGTGTTTTCCACCCAACACAACCCACAGCCACCCACCCCGATGGCCTTCCCGGGTGCCTCGCGCCTTACTTAACAGCGGGAGCATTTGGGACACTCAGTACAAAGGCAATAGAACGCAGGCACACGCATGCACGCCTGCACACACACCCCACAAAGAGCAAGAGGAAGGAAGAAATAGAACCAGTGGAGTCGACCCTAAAGCCTCATTATCCGCAACTGCCTGGGAACTGATAATGAAAGGAGCCTGTTAAACCTGTGAAGAGCGTAGACAAAATTCGCAGATGGTGTTCACCTTTTAGAAAAGCAAACTTTCCAGGGCACCTGGGTGACTCAGTCCGTGAGGCGCCGACTCTTGGCTCTGGATTTCAGCTCACGTCGGGATCTCAGGGTTGTGAGATCGAGCCCCTGCTTAAGATTCTCTCTCTCCTCGGCCCCTCCCCCACCCCAAAGACTGTCTACTTAAAGAAAAGCAAACTTTACGAGCAGTAAGTTAAGTTCGTAGCTATTTGTATGGGGGCCTGGCCACTGCCAAAGGCTGGCGCCGTGTCAGCTAATTATAAGCCAGCCACAAGTCGTCACCATTGTCACCATCGAGAGCCTAGAGAGAGTGGGTGACTGTTCCTGTTAACATTGCCATCTTTCGGCCTCACAGGACCGCAAGTGCACTCGTGGGTTTGGGGGAAGAGCCTGCCAGCTGTCTCCCGAGGCCACGACCCCTCCCCATCCCCATCATCATCGTTCTCTTGTTCGGGCTCTGAATTCGGGTCCTTCTGAACAGAGGTGCCCAGTGTGTGACCCAGTGCGATATTTGAGACCCGCAAAGTCCCCTAGGAATCCTGACGTCTCTAGAAAAGAGACGAGGCCACGCGAGGCCCCGTGAGTCACCTGCATGTTTTGGTTGCCTTCCTGGCCCCGGCAAGTGTTGGAGTTTTCCACCTCTGTTAGAACAGGCGTTCTCAGGTGACCTACCCTCATCGGTCCCCAGGGAGCTTATTTTAAAATGCAGGTTTCCAGGCCCCCTCCCCCTGGAATGCCTGGGACTGGAGGTCTCACGCACCCCCAGGAAATTCTTGGGCATCGTGGGAATTGAGAACCTCTGCTGAATGGGTCTCAGAACCTTCTCCAAATCTGCCAAGCTCCCGCCTGCTGGGGCTCCCGCAGTCCCTCATACTGGTCTGTCCTGTGAGCATTGCTAAGACAAGGTGTTCGGCCTGGCCCTTACCTTGTGTGTGCTGCCCAGGAGGCTTGCAGGGGGGCCCTTCAATCCCACTTCACAGGCAAGGAGACTGAGGCCCAGAGATGTCCTAAACTCACCCACAGTCACACAGCAAAAGACTTAAGTGATGGGACTATTACCTAAATCCGGGGCCTTCCTGCCCGTTCCCCGAAGCTATGTCCTAGTTACTCCTGAACTTATAAGGAATATGTATTTTCAACCCTCTATTCAAGATATTTTTGAAACATTCTACAGATCAGGCTTGTCACAAACTCAGACAACGCCCCTCCCCGGCAAGACCAAGTGAATGGTCTCAGGGTGGGATCCCATGAGAAGGGGCCCCTCGTAGGAGAGTCTGGCCACTCACCTTCACCTCTGCTGTGGGGTTCCTGGAGATCTGGAGCAGACAGCCCAGCCCCACTCCCACCAGCAGATCTGTGGCCTGGTTCAGGAAGTTCGCTGGAACAACGGCCCCCCACCCCAACCGCACGCCCATCAGCTTTGCTTACGGTCTCTGCACCCCCAGCCCCAAAACTCCCTCTCTGAGGATATCCTGCCTAGCGTGAGCCCTTTTAGGAAGGCGAGTGTCCACTGTGCATTCTGCACTCGATCTGGAGATAGGGAATGAGGTGACAGAAGGAAGCGCTTGGCATGTGGTAAGCACTTGGCTTCCCCGCAGCTAGGCGAGGTGACTACCCACCGTCCCCTGGGGGACGGAGCACAGGTCAAGGCCATCTCCAGGTATTGTTCAGGGGGACCCTGGTCCAGGCAGAGCTCTTTCCTTCTCACCCCAGCCTGAAGGATCGGGAGAGGCCAGAGCCCGAAAGCCGGGAGCAGGTCTCAGTGGGGGCAAGGGGCCCCAGAAAGCCCTGTCCAGCCGGGGAGTTACACATGCCAGGAACGTCTCCCAGACCCCGCCCATTCTGGCTCTGCTGTGCAGCCACCCTCCTGGCACTGGGCTCAGCCTGAATGCCCTTGTGTGCAGGTGCCTGGGCACAGCTGCACTCTAAGGGCTTTCAAATACTACGACTTTATTTCACAACCAACATCATCTCCCGTTTGTTGGGCACACAGCCTGGGCCAGACACGGTGCTGGGTGCTGTGCCCCACCGTCGATCATCATCCCAACCCGTTCTGAACACACAGAGATCACCGAGGGGCAGAAAGCAGGATGTGTGCGAAGCCCCAAGGTCACAGAGTGGGGACATGGTGGCGCCGGACCTGGAACCCACGACCAGCTACTTTCAAATCCCTTTCTTCTCCTAGCCCCAGGCGGCTTGCTTGTCTTTGTGTTTTCTAGATAGAACAGGGGGGCGGCAAGTTGCAGTGCAGCCCCTCTGGCCCTCTGTCCACTTTTATAAATAAAGTTTTATAAATAAAGTTTTATTGGAACATTTAATGAGTAGCCATGCCCACTCATTTCTGTATTGCCTATGGCTGTTTTCACGCTACACAGTGGAGTCAAGTAGTTGCCAGAGAGGCTGGTATGGCCTACAAAGTCTAAAATATTTACTCTCTGGCCCTTTCAGAAAAAGCTCGCCAAGCCCTAACATCTATAGACCATGACATCTATAAGCAAGAGGAAGAGGGTCTTCCGCAGGGCCCTCAGAAGCTCAGCATGGGGGCGTCTATGAAAAACACCACCTTGGGGCGCCTGGGTGGCTCAGTGGGTTAAAGTCTCTGCCCTCAGCTCAGGTCATGATCTCAGGGTCCTGGGATTGAGCCCCGCATCGGGCTCTCTGCTCAGCAGGGAGCCTGCTTCCTCCTCTCTCTCTGCCTGCCTCTCTGCCTACTTGTGATATCTATCTGTCAAATAAATAAATAAAAATCTTTAAAAAAAAAAAAAGAAACATTAAAAACAAACAAACAAACAAACAAACACCGTCATCCACCGAGGGCTTGCCACGCATTTCTCTCACCTCATTCAGTCCATACAACAACCCAGCTGTGGTTGTTCCTCTCAACATCCCCATTTTACAGATGAGGAAGCTGAGGTCCCAGCAGCTGTGTCTCCTGCCCCAGGTGTTCCAGGAAGGAACACTCCCCAATCCCGGGAGTGGGGCATGGAGCACAGCCATGGCCCTCGGAGCCCGTGCCGCAGGGAGGGCAGCCCCACAAAGGATACTCAAGATGATGCCTCCGAAACAGGCTGAGAATGCCATCCGCGGGTAACCCTGGCGGGCCAGCGTGAAATCTGAGAAGGCATCTGCAGGGAAAGGAGACCGCTTTGAATGGTGAGTAGCTCCCCCTGGCCCTCTTGGGTCATTCACTCCTTACTGTTACCCACAATCATTCAGTCAACAATCACTGATGAGTACCCATTTGGGCCTTGCAATAGCTAGCTGGGTGCTGCGGCCACAGCATCCCATGACACAAGTCCCTTCTTGATTCTTTCTACCCCATTCTTTCCCACCAGGGGCAACTCTGGGATGTGACCTACCATTACTGCTAGCATGCACAGCACATTTATGTAAATTCAGAAAAGGTGCCCAAAAAGCTCATTGGAAAGAGAGCTAGATTTCAGCCCCCCAACTCCTTGTCTGAATGTTCTTGTGCAGTGCACAACTTAGCCAACCTTACCTGGCAGCTAATAGTTAGAAAAGGGTCTACTGGTGTATGCATGAATGCCTACGTATGTCACACACCCATGTACACATTCAGCATGGTTGGCTGCAATAGGCTCCATGTCCTGCCTGAACCCTGGGGAGGCAACTGTCCACACAGCAGAGAGTGGGGAAGAGGCTGGGGCCTCTCTAGTCTCCTGGCCTGGGTACAAGCCAGGCCACCTCAACCCAATGCCCAGTGATGGTCATTCCAAACAACAGTGGGCCTGAGCTAGTGCTGAGGGCAGGTGCCCCAGATGGCCCTGCTCACGTGCACTCTGGCTAGGGGAGCAGAGAGCAGTGATGCAGCTGCACTCGTCCCAGAACCCCAGCTGCGCCCGAGTCACCTCCAATGCTGTTCCCCCAGGCCAGCAGCGTGAGCCCCAGGACAGTGTTGCTCAGCCGGAAGACCACTCCCAGGGTCCGCAGGATGTTCACCACCTCTGTGGCCGCTGCGTTGATCCACAGGGCGCTGGTCAGGAAACCCAGAAAAGCAAAGAGCTGGGGAGGGAATGAGTGCTGATGGGCCCAAGGCCAGTCCCCAACAGGGATACGGTTCCCAACAGGCACATGGCCTCAGTTCTTCATCACTAAGACGGGATGATCACAGTACCCACCCCCTGAGATTCTTGTGAGCAGAAATGAGTTAACAGATTCAGAGCTGGCAGTGCTCAGCACATAGTAAGTGCTCCATAAAATGTTAGCTCGGCATTACTTTTCTGTCAGGGAAGAATTCAAGAAGCTTCCCTCAGCTTCCAGGCTAGGGACCAAATGTTGTCCCAGGACCACAAAAAGAAACTCCGTGCCCATCAGCAGTGACTCCCCATCCCACCCAGCCTTCCTCCAGCCCTGGGCCTCCACTACTCTGCTTCCTGGCTGTATGGATTTGCCTGTTCTAGACACTTCATTACGCGGTCTCACGCCACTCGTGGTCCTTCGCAGCAGCCCTCTCTCACTCAGCGCTGTGTCTTTTAGGGACATCTGTTGGGAGTGGGTGAAGTACTTCAAAACCCAGTAAAAACACTGGCTGAATGCTATTTCCCTACATCATCAATTGGTCAAAATTTGACCTGCTTTGGGTTGACACACTCAAGAGTTTCTCAAAATAAAAGCTATAATTTTTTTTATCAATACATAGCAAAAAAAAAAAAAAAAAAAACTTGTAAGTGAACTTTGAAGAATACATTCTAAACAAACTGCCTAAAAAAATTCCTCAGCATGCTGCAGGGTGGAGAGAAGGGGGGAAAAAACCCACAAACACTGGGCAATTCCATCCTTGGAACGTGGCTATGAGACACACAGGTGCGTCCCCAAGAGTGAGCAGGAGAGAGTCTGGTAATTGTTCAAGAAGTGAAACATAACGTCTGTCCCCGCAGTTTCACCCAGGAATGCACCCAAGAGGAATGAAAGCCTATTTCTAGACCCATGTGTTTACACAAACGTCACAGCAGCATTCCTTGTTAACAGCCCCAAAGTAGAAACAACTCATGTCCACGGCTGGTGAGCAGATAAACGAAACATACTGTCTCCATACCATGGATCATGTTTGGCCATGAAAAGGAGTGACTCCCTAATCCCCGGCTAGTGCACAGGACGACCCTGAAAACATGAGGCAAACTCACAAAGGACCACATGTCGTATGATCCCATTTCCATGGGAAGTCCAGAACGGGCAACTCCATAGACACAGGACATGGGTGGGCGGGGGCCGGGCGCTGGGGCGGGGGAAGTTGGGGAAGGGAGGGGACGGACTGCTAACGGGTGTGGGTCTTGAAATGCTCTCAGATTGATAGTGGTGATTGTGGCAAAATTCTGTGTATATAACAAAACCGCTGAATCCCACACTTTAAATAGGCAAATTATATGTATGGTATGTGAATTACATCTCCATAAAATGAAACTGTTACCAAAAAGAAAAGATCTTGAAAAGGAACAAAACTATCATCCAAAGTGGCCTTAAAGACCTGTCATTACGGAAAGTGATTCCGGGCCTATCTGCCCCAGGGGCACAAACTGGATGCCCTCCTGGGAGATCCCACTGTCCTCTTGCCCCACTGTGGGATGCTGGGAATTCTTACCCAGTGAAGCCTGGGGGGCTCGCTGTTGGATGTGGCAAAAAAGGTCACCGCAGCCACGGCCGTGCCCACAATCACCACGATGGCCCAGACAGGAAGGAGGCCACCTATCTCATAGACGCCATCTGCGGAAGAGCAAGAAAGCAGGGCTGGTACTCTCCACTGCTTCAGCTTGGCCCTGCTCCTGGAGGGCACACCCCTTCCCCAGAATGAGTGGGAGCGCCTGGGGGAGAGGCCCAAGGATAAAACTCATTTACATGCGATTGTTTGGACATAAAATGTCCCCAGTGCTGCCCTGGGCACTTGAGGGGGACAGAGAAATAAAAGACAGAGGGCTTGCCCTGAAGGTACCCACACCAGAAAGAAGGCAGACAATGTGAAAGACAGACTGTCCCCAGACTTCTGCTCGGAGACCAGGATGGGAATGGCTAAGCCCACTCACCACCACTGTCCTCTCCCATGCCCATGGCAGACATCACTAATCAACCATCACGCCGATGCTTCTTCCAACTGAGTTTCAAGGCAGCACCCTCCAGCCAGGCATTGCTAATGGATGGGCATCGCTCCACTAAAGGAACCGTATAGTCAAACCCAACCCTTACCCACTGGTCCTGGAGCCCAGCACCTGCTCTCTTGATAAGACCACTCCACAAACCAACCCATTCAAAGTTATGAAAGTTCTGGGGCCTCCTGGGTGGCTCAGTCAGTTGGTTAAGCATCCGACTCTTGATTTCAGCTCGGGTCATGAACTCAGGGTCATGGGATTGAGTCCCTCATTGGGCTCCGCGCTCAGCGGGGAATCTGCTTGAGATTCTCTGGCTCCCCTTCCCTCTGCCCTTCCCCCACCCCACCCCCAGTCTCTCTCTCTCTCTCAAATAATAAATAAATCTTTAAAAAAAAAGTTATGAAAATTTCAGGGGCTTCACATCAAAACATGAAAAGGGGAAAACCCTATAGGCAGACGGCACACTCTAGAATTCTCCACACACAACCCTTTCCACCACCAGGGAATTAGTACTGGTCTCAAAGGCAGTGGATGGTTTGGCTGCCCAGACACTGTGTCCAGACTTTCCTCTCATTCTTCGGTCTAGCTCACTGGCTCTCCCGTGTCAGTGGCATTAGAATTACACAAGGGAGCTGGTACTCAGAATTGAGTCCACGATCCATTGTGTGTGGATCTCAGGAGGTCATTTTGACTGGACGTGGTTCTGACTGGGTAGTGCCGGCTTTGGAACCTGACACCTGAGCGAGGGGCCCTTTCTCCGAATTTGCCATGCCTGTTCTGGGGGAGTTTCAGGAGGCGGCTGGCGTGCAGGGTGGTCAGGAAGGGCTTCTTCGAGTGCGGAGGATGTCCGATGACACGTGAACAGAGAGAGGGTACAAGGGCCACAGGGGAAGAGGAGAGAGCTGCGTGGGAAGGAACCAAGCAAGTGGACGCCAGCCAAGGACAGAGAGCAGGGAAAGCAGCTGCCTTAAGAGTGGCCGGGGCAGTGTGGACTCGGACCAAGAGGTACTAGGGAGCCATGGAGGTCTTTGAGTGGAGGAGTGACCATAACCTTGGAAAAGCAGCACTTTAGAAAGATGGCTCTGGGTATTGCTCAGAGAGGGAGGAGGCTGGGAGGCTCTGCTAACAGACCCGACACCCCCTTAGGCAGGGAGCCAAGTCCAGGGCTCGGCCCAGACGGGGGTCATAAATGCTTTCACCTGAAGCAGTATTTCCCCAGTGGGGACCTGCTATCACCAGATGGTGCCGGTATGTGGGCAGGAAACTACCGTGCCACTATCGCACCCTAGGTGAGCGATTTCTCCTTTGAAGGAAATCTCCACGGGCACGAATAGGTCTGTGGCATCTCTAACCCCCGCTGCACACCCTATGGAACAGAGACTCCAGGCTCAGATGCTTTATTTTTATTGTATTTATCTTTGCAGTTACCTTGAATTTACTGGCAACGAAGCCACTTTCCTATTGGTGCCGTTCAGTAACTTTAAAAACAGCGGATTCAAGAAAAACGTTAACGGGAATGGTCAGCGATGGGAGAAAAGTCAAGCGGCTGGGTCGTGAACGACAGATGCTTGGGGTCCACTCTTTTAAGAAGCCCCAGAGGTGACAGTGAGTCCCTGGCAGTGGCCTGGCCTGGGAGGCTGGGTTCATCCGCTCGACAGGGAATGGAAGACTGACGAGCCAGACAGCTGGCACCCCTAAGGGGCACCCTTCTCAGCTCTGGGGTCACACTGGGCCCTGGTGGGCTCTCTCACAGTGTCCCCCTGCCATAAATCCAGGAGGGGACCCACAGAGAATTTGCTGACCCTGTTTGAGCCAAAAACGCCACGGCCAGCCATGCACTGGCCCCCAGCGCCCTACCTCCTCCACCTCCAGGTGATGCTGGGGGGGACAGAGAGGAGCAGGCAGCGTGAAACACTAAAGGCAGACAACAGGAAGAAGCCCGAGCAGCGGGAGCTGGAAGATGCCTGACAACACTGGGCATTTCTTGAGCCAGAGCAGGTCAGAAAGGGCAAGGACAGCCTGGAGCCAACAGAGAAAACTGCAATTCCCCAGCCGGGTACCCCAAGAGGCAAGGGAGGGGACTGCCCTGCTGTGGACAGCAGTGGGGGGGTGCACACACTGGGGGCGCCCTTCTCAGCACCAGCCAGTTCTGCCTTTGGGAACCCCAGACCCAGATTCTGATGTGCAATCTCCTAATATTTTAACGCGGGCAAATGATGGAGGGCTGGGTCTGGTCCAAGGGCCACCAGCGTGCTGCCCCCATCTGCGGCTGGCAGCACCGGATCGGCTGAGCGTGGGACGCTGGTGCCCTTTTACGGCACAAGCATATGTTAAGTGCCCGGGATTCCACCACAGGCCCAGGACCCCGTGGTGCAGTTGAGAAGAAAACTCTGGAATGTGTGTGGGGGGGGCTGGCCTGGGGGAGGGGATACTCACAGGCCCCCGACTGTAGGGTCAGGACCAAGACCAGCGGGCTGGTGACCAGGTGCAGGCAGTTGAGGGGCCGTTTCCAGTTCCCGTCCTCTTTGTCGGGGTCCACAACAGGGACGGTGAGAAGCAGCAGGAACTCCACGGGCAGCTGCCAAGGGGGCCAAGGCAGGAGGGTGTCACTAGGGAGGCCTGTGTCTGGGCCAGCCACCCCCTGGGCAAGGTTACTCAGGGATGCGGCTGATGTGGCTAAGGCCCCGGCCTTGGGCAGGCCCAGGCCCAGTGCCGCCGGTGGTCTCCTCCTGCTGCTGGAACCCCAGCCCAAAGCCAGTGCCTTCCAGAAACACAAATCTATCCCCTCCCGGCTCTGGGGCATGGGGTCCTAAAATCGAGGTCTTGGCGAGGCCACATGCACCCCTTGGCTTGTGGCCCTGGTCAGTCCCAGCTGTGCTTCTGGGATCACATCTCCTCCGACTCTGGCCCCCACCCCCCAACCCCCCTCTTTTCCCATAAGGACCCTTGGGACATCAGGCCCACCTGGATTACCCAGGAGACGCTCTACCTCTCCAGACCCTTCATCACACTTGCACATCTCTTTTGCCAGGAAGGTAACAGAGTCACGTTTCTGGGGATCGGGACCTGGAGATCTTGTGGGGGGGGGGTGCGTGACTCAGATAACCGTGGTATCTCGTCCACTAATCCTGACCTCGGCCCCAGATGTAGGAACTATGGTTTTTCTCACCTTCTGGAAAAAGGGACTGAGGCTCAGAAAGGTTAAGGAACTTCTCCAAAGACACACAGAGGGTATATGAACTGGGATCCAGGGCCAGCTCCGATGGACTCCACACCTTGCGCTTTCAGCTAATAACTAAATTAATAATCCCATGTACGGAGCGCTCACTACACGCCAACCACAGAGACATCATGGGTTCGGTTCCAAACCACCTCAGTAAATGTGGGTCCCAAGACAGCAAGTCCAACAAATTTTTCAGTTTCTCAGCCCATGGAAAAATGATGTTTACGCTACGCTGTCTATTAAGAGTGCTGCAGCATGGCGTCCCCCCCCCAAATATCTACATTTCCTTAATTAAAAAAATATTTTATTGCTAGAAAATGTTGTCAAGCAGCCAGGCTTCCAGCAAGCTGTCATCACCGTGCCCAGATCACCACAACCTCCAGAGTAGCGGGGAAAAGATTGAAATGTTGCAAGAAATTCCAGCCAGTGACATGGGGACACGGAATCAGTCAATGCTTTTGGAAAAGCTGTGTTAACATGACAACTAAGCGCAGGGTCCCGCAGACCTGCAACCTGTAACAGACACAGTGTCTGTGAAGCCTGGGGAAGCCAAGTGCGATGAAATGAGGCGTACGCCTCTTTGGCACCACACTCAGCCCAGCATGTAATAGCTTTTATGAATTGTCACAATTTAATCAAACCGTGATAGGCCTGATACCATTCACAATTCTTCAATCCCTTCCTAGAACAGAATTAAATGCCCATATCCTTTGTCAAGTGATTAGTGGCTGCAGAATATATTTTCCTGCCCCACTGACGTTGAACGTGGCCACGGGACGAGCTTCGGCTCATGGGCGGTTGGTGAATGTGACCAGAGTAGAGGCTTAAAATGTGGGCGCAAAGTCTGTCTTGGCCTCTTGTGCCAAGACAAGAACACACACCCCAACCCCAAGTACCCAGTAGGCCCAGGATGTGATGCTGGGCAGACTGGAGAGGCTCCCTCCTCTCTCCCTCTGTCCCAGATGCAATCCTTCCTCCATGCAGGACAGGTCAGGCCATCAGCCAAACTATGACTCAGTTTACCCATCACGTGCCACGTAATCTATTCTGAAAGGGTCTCAGCAGACCCCGGCCCATCCCCTCTCATTGAGATAGAGAAGGTTGAGTGGCCACTGCCCGTGTTGTCATGGAGCCATGAGTCTGGCTCCAAGGTCCCCCCCTCCTACCTTGAACACCTTGAGGGCCCTCCAAGACACTGACTTGATCCTCCACTTCCTGTAATCCAGGGGGTTAAGGGCATGGGCCAGGATCTGAGCCGTGGTCTCCTGATAGAAGAGCAGTGGTCGGTACTCTTCACCTGGGTGTACGAGGGGGAGAGGGGCAGGTGTCCCTGGCTGGCTCAGCTTCCAGGAGACCCTCTCCCCACCCCCTGGTCCTCCCAACCCTCAGGAAGGAGGAAAAGCCCAGGGCCTGGCTTGGCTGTTGTGCAGTGAGAGATGGGGCTGCTTTGAAACCTCATTCCTGGGCCCTCCGTGGCCCCCTCTCCTCACCTCTCTACCCCCAGCTCTGCCGTGGTACCCCACCCTGGCTGGGCACAGAGTCCAGACTCACTGTAGTCATAGCTGTTGGAAGACACGGGCTCCTCCTCAGAATCTGAGAGCATTTCTGTAGGAGAGAGGGGAGTTTCACATGAGCCAGCTAGGGAGCCCAGACGAAACCCCCCCCCCCCGCCCCCGCCGCTGCACCGTTCCCAGGTAGCACAGCTCCAGGACAGGGCCATTTTCAGGGTCCAAGTGTGTAGGCCCTCTGGATCTTGGAGTTCTCAGCAATCCCTAGGCATGCTCAGAACTCTTACTGAGTGAGAAAGTCTAACTCAAAAAACACCTTCACATGTAATGCTCTAGCTATAAAGCCAAATTTAATAAGTGCATTTAAAGATAAAACTCAAACATTTGCAGACTTCAATTTTGTACTTTCCAGAATTTGGAGCCCATCGTATTTTTCTTTTTCAGTCTGAAACTTTTCTTGGAAGTCCTCGGGCATGCTACATCCTGAGCCCAGCAAAGAGGGGCCTTAAAAGGACTATTGTCTTCCTCATCACTATCCCTAGTCCTGCCTCTGTGTGACCTTAGGCCCTTCTCGAGGTCTCATTCCCCCTCTTCCTCCAGCCTGATGGGCTATGATGGGTCTAGAAGACGGCACAGGGCTGATGTGTGCTGAACTTGGAAGGTTCAGTAGACAGAGGGAAGGAGAGGAAAAATCATGGAAGACTTCCTGCAGGGGGAGTCACCGGCACCTGTGTGTTGTTTATGGGGATGTGTATATGTATATGTACCTGAGTGTGTTGTGTATGTATTTGTATATATATGTATTTGTATGACTGTGTGTTGTGTTGGTGTGTGTGTACATGGATTTGTATATGTGTGTGCTACGTGTGTATATGTGTTTGTGTGTGCACATATTGGTATGTGCATACGGGTGCATAGGCAGAGGGAAGAATACAGGTTCGAAGCCGAGGGCAGTGGGGAGCGTTACTGGATGTAAGCAGTGACAGATCTGAGACAGATGTTGCCCTGGAGAGAGCACGGAGGAGGAAGAGTCAGGGAAACCGGACACGCGGATGACGAGGCCTCACCAGCACAGCCAAAGTATGCAGGTGGGACCTTGGCACAGAACAAGTAGGAAAAGTATGAAGAGACAATCGACAATGACGTTGGCCTCCAGAGATGAAAGGCAGTCGTGAAGGGTGCAGAGGATGCCAGCCCCCACTGGCCTCGTGGGAGCTCAACTCGGACCCCTACCTGGAGTGCCAGGCATGGAGTAGACCAGGGACCTACTCCGCTGCCATCGGTAGATCCAGGTGCAGAGAACCACAGTGATCACATAGAACACATACAAGCCCAGGTAACCTGCAGACAAGGGTGCAGGCTGTCACCAAGTGGCATCCCGGCCACAGCCCCAGACAGCAGGTGCTGCCTGTTCTCCTACTGGTGCCTGCTGGTGGTGGTCTGTGTTAGCCCAGCCCAGTAGCAGGCAGGAAATGGCCATGTCTTAGAGCCCCCACCCTACCGCCTTGCTTTTCCTCCGCCCATCTTCCCTTCCTGCCCTCCAGAATTGGGCAAAGAGGTAATGCCGGGCACAGTCGTCTCCAGGACCCGATTCAAGTGCTAAGGGCTGGCGTCCAGCTTTAAGCCCTGAGAAGCTCGGCCCCACAGACCGCAGCCCCTGAGCTCTGGTGGCACTGGGTTTGGTGAGAAGGGGCCTGGGGACAAATCAGAAGGCAGCAAGGGAGAGTCCGTGATGCCGCCTCCCTGGCGTGGTGCCCTGTCTCTGGCAAGACCTGTGACCCTCTGTGGCTGTTGCCTGTGCTTGGTGACACCAGGTCTAGGCCTCTAGTCCTCTCTGGGCTCCAGCTACCATCCCCTCGCCTCTCAGGGGCTCCTATAGCTGCTGATCCCTGGATGTCCCGGCATCCCTGCATCCCTTGTGGGTTTCCAGAACCCCGTGTGAACTGTGCCTCTGTCCACGTTACTTGAACCACGAGTGGATTGTGTGCGCTGCAGGGACACTGGGGGCCACGGTCAGCAACCCAGCCAGAGTGCTCGTTAAAATGGGACACTGAGAAAATCCAGAACATCACCCTGGGCTCCCCCCGGCCCCCTTTGTTTATCTGAACCCCAGGTTCTCTTTTTTGGGCTCAAGCCAACGGAGAGGTTTCCCTCCTTCAGAACCGGAAGTGACACTGTGCCCGGCTGGTCACCCGCTCTCATCCCTTGGTGCCTCCCACCCACCAGCCCTGCGGCTGCTCACCCAGGGCCCATGCCAGAGTGACCCTGCCGAGGTAGAGTGCGGTGAAGGTCAGGAACACAGCCACCATGTAGAAAATGATGTCTCTGAGGAAGGGCCTGGAGGCGGCTGTAAAGGGGCGCAGGATGGCGATGCCACCGGCCACCACGGTGGTGACCAGCACGCCCGCGCCTGGAGGAGAAGACGCCAGGCTCAGCCCCCCCTGCCCCCCACCCTGCTGCCCTCCTCCACCTACCCCTGCTGCCCAGGCCCACTCTTACCAAACAGCGCCCCAAAGGCCAGGCCGGCCGTGCGCGGATCCGAGAAAGCCACCAAGGCGCTGAAGATATCGGGCGCGCCGTTCCCGAATGCCAGGAAGGTGACGCCATGGGGGGAGCACGTCAAGGGGACACAAAGCAGGGGCCCCAGCCTGGCCAGACCTGTCCTGGGCTGTGAGCCACCACCACCCAGTCTCCCAGACTCCCCTCCCACTGCCCTCCCACCCTTCGGGGTGCAGGCCTGGGGACAAAAGGATACTGCCACATTGTGGGACAGCTTGAGCAAGGTGGAGATGGCTGACAAGTTAGGGCAGAAACTATGGAGAGAAAGCAAACAGGGTGTGCCTTCACGGCCATCCTCCGCCTAAACATGGGGTCACCCCAGTGCCAACCTCCCAGGGACTCCGCTCCCATCTATAAGCTGGATGGGAGCCCAGGCCACACTCACAACTTTGCTGCGGTGACTCCCAGAATCAGAAACAGGTAAAGCAGCCAGAAAGCCTGGGAGAGGGGTGCGGGGTTGGGAGGGGGCGGTGGGACTGTCAAGTCCAGCCTGGGCCCCCAGCCCTGCTCCCTCACACCCCCCTACCCCGGGGCAGGGCCTCACATAGAGGGTGACAGCCAGAGGGAGGAGGTCAGGTGGGAAGTAGCAGAAGACGCCTTCGAGGTAGTTCAGGTAACCCCCTTCGCTGTGGCAGTCAGGGGTGGTCCGGATGAAGGGACAGCGGTCAGAGACATTCAGGCCACACACATCACGACACTGCAGCGAGGGAGAAAGGGGGACGTCAGGGGTCGACCCCCTGAGAGCACCTGGACCAGGACCGTCTAAGTAGCTAAAGATGACCTCCTTCAGCCCAACCCCCTAAGCCCCCCATACCCTCCAAGTGCCAACTGTTTAAAAGAGACTTGTTTATACAAGTCATTCATGAATGTGTTTCTCTTCCCTACCCTCCACAATCCCACTTTTCTCCAAAGTTCCCATCACGATCAGTTTCTAGAGTCCCGTTATGGGAATAACGACCTTGTACACACATCTTGTTATATAGCTGGTTTCATTTTACAGAAATGGATCCCTCTTAACTCTCTCGTTTCTACAATTTGCTTTTACCACTTCACATATATGCCACCCATTAAGATACTGGTACACGTAAAGATGAAGAAGGGGATCAAAGTCAAAGCACGCTGAGTAATTTCCATATGCCAGGCATAGGGCTAGGTGCTTAAAATGTATCTCAATTAAATTGTCCCACAGTCTTGCAAGGAAGTCACTATTATCATACCCCCTTGACAGAAAAGGAGACAAAACAGTGTCCTGGGGTCCACTCCATGGTAGACAGGGTCAGAACTGAGGTTCTAGGGCTGGTTTGAGGTTCTAGAACCCTGTCTTAACCATCATACGCCCTGTGGATACCCTATGGTCTTTTTAACATTACTGCAGTATTTCATGCTCTGAATGATACAGGGGGCGGGGTAATATTTACCCACCGGTGGGCATATAGGCATGTCTGATTTTTCAGGAGAGCCAGCAATAAACATCCTTGCATGGGACTCTCTGAGTACATATGAGAATATTTTGAAAAGAGAGAATTCTAGAAGTAAAAGTGCTGAGTCAGAGTGCATCAGAGACTGGGTTCCTCCAGAAGCAACCCGAAGACAAGGATTTACGAGGGAGTAAGTATGTATTTGGGAAGTGTGTGGAATGCAGTCGCCACAGTGGGGCAGCAGGAGAAGGAGGGGAAAGAAACCAGCGAGGCCAGAGGCCAGGCTGGGACTGTCCACGTTGGGCTGGTAATCCCAGGGGCAAGGGAGCTGCAGTATTTATACACCAACTCCTACGAGACATCAGGAGAGGATGCTGATGGAGATCAGGGGTGGGGAGGTGCTAGTTCCCCAGCACTACCCACCTCCCGAGTTTATGGGCGGTTCTGGAAAAAGATGCTTGCCACTAGAAGTCAACAGAAGCCCTCCCAAAGGGCAGTGTACGAAGGACACAGGCAGGGCCCTCACGGCACTTCTTGCACTTAGACACTTGATGGGTTTTGCTAAAATACGCTCCCCCAAGCCTTACTTGTACACACTGGCACCAGCCCCGGCAAATGGGATTCCATACCTGTGCCTGCCTCCCAAGTCTTGTGCAGGCTGATGTGGCAGGAATCTTCTTGCCACTCAATTGCAAGTCCCTGATTATCTGTCCGTGCCCATCTCGTGGTCATTTGTATTCCTTCTTTGAGCTGCCCCTTTGCTCAGCTGGAATGTTTGCTTCTTCTTATTGACTTGGAGACGCTCTCTATATAATGGATATTTGTCCTTTGTCATGTCACGCTTGTGCTTAAGCACTGTCCTCCGTCTGGAATGTCCCTCCCCTTTTTCAAACTTCCTGTTAAAAGCTTTGTAAATACCAGCTCACACCCATTAGGATAGCTACGGTACAAAGCAAACAGCGCTAGAAACTAGCAGGTATCGGCTGGGATAGGGAGGAATCGGAGCCCTCGTGCGCCGTTGGTGGGAATGTGAAACGGTGCAGAGCCTTGCCAAACAGCATGGTAGTTCCCGAAAAATCAAAGAAGAGCGTTAGTCACCAGAACAGGGAGGTAACGCACAGCACGGGGACCGGTGAGTGCTGCTGTCCGTTAACTATGAAAACCATTGGAACATCACAAGGGAAAACACCATTTTTTCCTTTCTTTTTTAAACCTGAGAGGCGGGATGTTAACAGGCTTATTGTCATCATTTCCCAATAGATGTACGTTAATTCCTCATGCTGGACACTTTACACTTACCACGGTGCAGAATGTCAACTCTATCTCAGTAAAAGTGGGAAAACATGTCATTACCCTATGATCCAGTAAATCAGCTTCCGGGTTGAAACCAGAAAGAACGGAAAGCCAGGTCTCAGAGAGAAGACATGCACAGCCACGCTCATGGCGGCACCGTTCGCGACAGCCAGAAGGGCTAGAAGCAGCAAGTATCCCCCATGGGTGAATGGATGAACCAGAGGTGGCGCATCCACACCATGACCATCATTCAGCCTTCAGAGGGCAGGGAGTTCCGACACATGCTACAACATGGGAGAACCTTCTGGAAGCCAGAACTGAGAACATCGTGCTTAGTGTAATAAGCGAGTCACCAAAAGACAAACACCCACTAATTCTGTTTATAGGAGGGACTTGGACTAGTCGGATCCACAGAGACAGAGAGCAGAAAGCAGAGGGTGGGGGAGGAGGAAATGGGGAGTTCTTATGTACTGGGACGGAGCCTCAGTTTTGCCAGGTGGGAAAGTTCTGGAGGTGGATGGCGGTGATGGCTACAACGGCGTGAAAGAGCTAATGCCACGGAACAGCACACTTGAGAAATGGTTCACGAGGGAGAATTTCAGGTTATGTTGGTAAATTTTAAGTCCTGTATATTTCACCCTAATTTCAAAAGAAACTGCTTTGTCAGATCGTGGCTCTGAGATCCTTTAGCCCTCTCTGAACTCCCACCAACACCACATGGGGGGTAAGATTTCTAGATTCTGAGCCCCTGGCTATCGCCCAACCCTGGCCTGTGGCTCTCTGCCAATGTGACATCGAGCCCGCTGTATTGAGGGTACCTGCTGTCGCTTTGGCCCGCTACCTCACTCCTTCTTTGTCCCCCTGAATCCACATTCATCCTCCAATCCTTAGTTCCCCAGATGCTTCCTCCAGGAAGCCTTCCCTAACCGCCTCCAGCCTAGGGCGGATCCCCCAGTTATAAACTCTCATCATTCCAGGTCCTCTCCCTTCCAAGCACTTATGTGTTTTGATATCCCTAGTTATTTGTAGGATCATAGACTTGTCCCGTGTCCACCTCTCCCACCAAAGTCTTGCACAGTGCTGAGCACACAGTAGGTCCTCATAATTGTTTTGCCACACATTGTGCTGGGCACCATCTCACTGAGTCTTCATGACAGACCCAGAAGGTTGGTATGATTCTGTCCACTTAACAGATTAGAAAACGGAGGCAGAGAGCAGCAAAGTGACTTGCCCAAGGGCACACAGCCCACCACTGCTAGATGGTTTCAGACTCAGCTCTGCCTGAAAGTTACCAGCTGAAGCTCCTGGGGAAACAGCCAAGTGGGCAGGGGTAGCCTCCTCTTCCTGTCTGCCCTCCTTCCCGGCTCTCCGTCCTCAGGGTCGGCCAGGGAGGATCCAGGGAGACGCTCCCACCCCAGCTTGTCTCCATCCCCCTGACAGCAGAGTGAGCCAGCAAATCAGGTCCCCCAAATCAGCCCCATCCCAAGGGGGTCATGCCCTCCCCCAAGGTCCACAAGCACCTGTTCGCAGCTCTCTGCCCTCGAGTAGCACAGTCATAGTGGTCCTGCTCTGTGCCCGGGGTGGGTGACTTTTCATCTCTGCCCCATTTCCTTCTCATCCTCTTCCCCGAGTCACTAAGGACACCCAGGGAAGTAGCTGACCCTCTCCTGGCTCTGGCCGGCTTCCCATCCCTAAACCTTAGTACCCTCATCTCTAGTATGGAGTTGTTTTTACCCATCTCAGGAGGTTTAGGAGAGAATTTGTTGAGATTGACACAGGGCTGGCCTGAGTGCTCAGGAACTCAGAGGTTATCTGGCACAAACCACAGATTACCTCGGTTTTCCTACCCCCAGGGAGCATGACCCTCTTTGGAGAGGCAGCAGTGAATTTAATAACCACAGTAACCATAAACCACTTTCCCTTCTGTAAAATGGGCATAATTACACATTCAGCCTCAGAAAGTAGGCATGAAGGCGCTCTGCAGCCCCATGAAGTTGGCTTGGGCACTTAACACTCTCAGCCCTTCAGTTGGAGAGGGAGGAGTTTGTTTTTCCATTCTCCTGGGAATGGGGAAGGGTGGGAACTCCAGCCCCTGCACGTGGAATGGACGCCTGGGGGTCATCATGAGCAGGCCCCTGCCTTCAGTCTTTAACTTGGGATCCGCTGTGACCTCTCCTCTGCTTACAGACATCAGGATGGCATGATTCAACTTCCTGCAGCCTGTCTCAGTGGCCTATGGGAAGAAGACTTCCTGCCTCTTACCAAAGTGTCCCCATTTCTCCTCCCTCCAAACGTCCAAGTCAACAGCACCCCTTTCTCTCCAGAAATCTTTCTTCCACCACCATGCCCTTTCCTCTAATCCCTCAGTACATTCCACTCACTGTGCCCCCAACATTTATCTCAAAACCCTCCATTCCTTTCCTATCCCCCACAACCACCACCACTCTTCTAGATACATGCAACAGCCCCCCACTGGTCTCCCTGGTGTGACCCTCACTCCTCTCAATCCATTCTTCCCAGAGAAGCCAGAGAGCTCCTTTGAAGACATAAATCAGCCTTTGACATCCCTCTGCTTAAAACTCCCCAGGGGCTCCCAACTATTATAAACAAATATCATCTCCTAGCCTCAGCCTATAGGGCCTTTTGTAATCTGGCCACCACTACCTCTTCATCCTCATCTCTTAATATTCTCCCCCTCGCTCACCCTGTTCCAGCCATTCTGGCCTCCTCCATGCTCCAAGAACATACTAAGCTTGTTGTTGCCTCAGGGCCTTTGCACTTGCTGTTCTCTCCCTGGAATGTTCTTTTTCCAGATGCCTGTATAAGTGACTGACTTTTTCCATTCAGGGCTTGGCTCAGAGGTCACGTCCACACAGAAGCCACCTGTGACCGCCCACTCTGAAATATTTGGAAATATGCCCTTCCCGTCATAGCTCCCACCTGAAGAGGTTATTTGCAAACCACTTAACATCTTACCACCTGAAATTTACATGTTTGCTCTACTACCTGTCCTCTTAGAAGACGGTTAGCTCCACCAGGGCAGGAATTTTTGTCTGTACTGTTCCCTGATACACCCCAGGGTTTAGCTCAGTGCCTGGCACATAGTAGATGCTCAGTAAATATTTGCTGATTGGATGAATACACCCCTACCTGATGCCAGCTTCCTACCTGGATGCTCACGTCTTCCATGGGGGTCTGGTTCACACCTGAGGCTGAAAACTGGGAGCCGATGTGGGCCCCTATAAATGGGCCCCTGGTCCCAGACACCGTCTCCACCATCAGCAGCCCCACACAGAAGAAATTCAGCACTGGGTACAGATACAGCTGTCTGCCGGCCATCAGACCCGGCGGAGCCTGGCCCTCACTCTCTGCTTCCCCTTCTGCCGTGTTTCACTTCCAAATAGCCCGTCGCTCCAGTGGCCTGCAGAGAGTGAGGTGAGAAGGAGGGTCAGGGTCACCAAAGAGTCTAGGCCCTAGCAGGAAGGGACTGAAGATTTTTTCAGTTGAAGAACTGCCCCGCCCGCTGACCCCACCAAAAGAAAGCCAAATGTAGAAACTCATTCTGGATGGAGGCTCTTTGGAGGGTCTCAGGGCCCCCGCTCATTCAGTATGCAGATTAGTTACGCCTTCTTCCTAAGGACCCCCGATAGTATCTCCATGGAGATGCAGGCCTCTCCCACCCACACCCCTACCCCGACACTGGAATATCAGGGCTGGAACGAGGAATCCTGGGACTCTAGAAGAGACTTCAGCTCGGGGATCAGCTGTGGGAAATCAATCCAGGAAGTGGGCAGCGGTGGGGACTTGGCAAGACCTCGGAACAAGAGAAACCTACTTCTGGGGGTGGACATGGCCTTTGGGCCACCAATTTGAGACGACTAAGCAATGCTGTTCTGTGACTTCCAATGAACTAAGCACTTATCACAGATGACCTCATTTAATTCCCGCAACTGGCCAAAGGGAGGTACTATTATTATTTCCATTTTACAGATGAGCAAACCTGGGCACAGGGCCAGGTCTGTGTCCTTACTCAGCTGCCGTGCCTCACCTCTCTCATCCAGTCCTCAGGACAATTGTGGAGATGTCCTTGTCTCCGCCTGTCTTACAGAGGAGGGAGCTGGGCTCAGAGGAGTTCCCTAACGTGCCCAAAGTCATAAGGCAAGGAAGTCACAAAGTCAACAGCAGCTCCTCCGATGGGGGAGTCAAGGCCCAGGGGGAAGTGAATTGCTCAAAATCACACAGCGTGTTAGCAGCAGAGCTGAGCTGGATTCTAGCATCTGCTTTTCACCTCAACACCAGGGCAAAACCGGCTTTAGTCTTTCCAAAGAAATCAAATTGGGAAAAAACCCACGTCCTTGGCACACCAACTTCCTTCTTTTGGCTCTGCCCCACGTCTTAGATGAGCATGTTTTATTTTGGCATCAACAGAAACAAAGTCCAGAAGACGTTATTTTTTTTTGTCATTCTTTGCACAGTTATTTCTCAATGACCTGACAGGGCAGGGGTGGGGGAGGAGGCTCCAGAGGAAGAGAAGGAAAAGGAGGGGCAGACAAGGCCTGTCCCAGCTCTCTTTTCTCACCTGTTAACTTTCCCCTCCTGCTGTTTCCCGGAACTTGGCACGGATTTGGACCCAGACACTCCAGCTTTCCAATTCAGTCACAGCCCAAATTAGGAGCTGTGCGGCCTCAGTGAGGTCATTTCACCTCTCTGAGCTTCTGATTCCGCATCTGCAAAATGGAGACAAATCCTGGCCCATCGGGGCATACAGTAAGAGCTCAATAAATGCCTGCATCTGTGGTGTGCCTCCTCTCTACTGGCTGCCGATTTCTTGCGCTTATTCACAAGGGAGCATTTATTGAGCGCTTCCTGTGCGCCTGTCCCGAGCTCAGAAGACCTGCAGTCCTGATAGGAAGCGGCGGGCGCAGGAAGTTGGGGCTGCAACCCCATCTGCAGCCGCACTTTCTAGGTGCGAGACCCCGAGAACGTCAAAGTGCAGTTTGCCAATCCTTGACGGATGTTGAGAAGTTGAAGTCCGGGTGCCCGGCCCTCAGGCGGCGCCCTGGCAGACGAGGAGACTCCCCTTACCTTGGGCGGGGCCTCGGACCCGCCAACTCCGAACCTCTACCCCGCCGGGCCTCGAGGCCCTTCTGGTGCCCCGCCGCCGGCAGGCGTTGCCCGACCTTCCCCGCTACCCGTCGCCGCGGATCCGGGGGCCCAGCCGGTGGCAGAGTCCCGGGCACTTTCCAGGCCGAGTCGGCCTGGGCGGGTCCCGCTTCAGCCCTGCCCTCACTGGCCCTGCCCAGTGACACGCCCCCGACGGCTGGCCCCGCCCCCTCCCTTAAAGGCACAGGCTCCGGTGAGGTCCCGGGACTGTCCTCTTTCTTTCAGTTCGGCGCCTGTCGGTTCGGTTTGTGCGGCTGAAGCAGAAGCTGAGATAAAATCCTGAAGGGTAAAGATGGCAGGAGGCCAGAGAGGGGACAGTTAGAGGATGAAACTAGGGTTTTATTCCCAGATGCTTTGGGAATCCGCGGTGATAGGGGACGCTTGGGAAAGTCCTAGGAGGGGGTAGGTCCTGCCTCACCCACAAATATTCCGGCGGTCCTGCCTGTAATGCCCCTGTTCGTGAGACCTCCTGATTAGGGCCAGCAGTCCGCCCCGTAGCAACGCTTTTAGAAGAAAAATATGGCAAACAGATCAAGACAGGGGAGTCGGTGCTGCACTCGTACCCCCCTCCCCGATTCCCAGACTCTGGGGAGGTTCGGGTTCCCGCCGTCTCCCCGTGCGCTGGGTGGTAGGGCGGTCAGCTGGAACAGAGAGGGGGGCTGACGTCCCCTCTGGGGCAGCCCCTCAGCCTGCCCCTGCTTCCGCAAATGCACCTCCGACGCCTCCGCCCAGCTCTGGGGCTGTCCCGCTTCCCCTTCACCTGCAGGCGGCGGCCCCACTCCAGCGGGCGTTGCCCCTCAGCGTCCAGCCCTCGCGCCCCTTTCGGACTTCATCTGGTATCCCCGCCGCTACTCCCCTCCCGCGCTGGCCGGGGAATGCTCCCCATTCCCCGAACACCCTGCTACACACGTACACGGGCTGCACCTCTGCTCCTTCTGAGCTCCCCGCCGGGAGGCCACACTTCCCTTTTTCCACCCGATAAACTCTTAACCCGGGCGCCCGGCCCAGCTCAAACGCCAGTTCTCCACCCTCCCTGCCACGCTCCAACGCCTCTATCGCCCCCACGCTCCCGGATTCCTTACCTTCAAAGAGAGCATACCTCTGGTTCCCCACTCTGAGTCAGATGACGCTGTGGTCTAGAGCATGTTCTGTTTGGAATCTCAGAGCCTCTGGTTTCTGTGCAAACTTTGGTAAACACACTGTTTGAGCCTCACTTTCCTTCCTTGAAAAATGAGGATAATAGCACCTACCACGTGGGGTCCCTGCAGGATGAAGTCCAGCACTGCATATAAAGCCCTGGACCCCATGCTGGTGGCTGAGTAAACACTCCCTCCACGGAAGGCACGGTTGCAGTCATTATTCCATGCATTCTGCAATATGGGAACCCGCTTGCCTGATATCCCATCAGCGGGGAGCCCATCAGAGCAGGGTGAAAGCCAAGCTCACTTGCACGCCTATTCAGGCAGTGAGCACAAGGTGCCCACAGCTGGGCACCGCAATGACTGAGCCTGCTCTGGGGTCGGTCAGCTGCTTCCCAGGCCGCCCGCTGCTTTGGGAAGTAGCTCCGAACTTCCTGAGTTTGGAGCCAAAGTCCTTCCCTGAGGGGCCCTGACTGGTACTCAGTGGCCCAGCCAGCATAAGAACTCAGTGTCACCATCCTAGGTCAGCTGGACGAGCGGACCACTATCTCCTTGTGTCCTAGGGCAGTTGGGGGGTAGAGGGGGTGATGAACGTGTGTTGGGAGATCCCAGGAAGGAGTCAAGGGAGGAAAAGAATCATGGGGACAGAGAGAGGAGACAAACATTGCCTGGGACACAGCCCCGCCCCCCCACCTTGCTCTTGGTGGGCCATGTTCTGGGTTACGGTCAATTTCCCAGTCTGGGAAAGGCCATTTTGACATTACGGTCATCATAGAAAGACCTCAGAAGTCACCCAGTCCAGGTTCAGATCCTAACTCTGCCACTTCCTGGCTACCTGACCTTGGAAAAGTCATTTAATTTTTTTGACCCTCAGTGTCCTCATCTGGGAAATGGGGTTAAGGACAGCACCTGCAAGGCACTCACAGGACTGTAGTCAGGATGCACTGAGATCATACACACAAACCCCACAGCCCGCTGCCCAGTTCTTGCAAAAGCTGGGTACGCAGAAGCTACTGGAATTATTATCACCATTGTTATTACTGCCAAGGGTAGAAGGACCTGCCACACAGTCTGACACACAGTAGGTGGAAATGTTGGTTGTAAATAAAGGATTTCAGGCTTCCACCAGTCAAGAATTCAGGAATGGCTCTGCTGGGTGGCCCTGGAGTGGGTTCTTACACGGATGCAGTCCAGCAGTAGCTGGGCTGGGGCGACTAGGGGCTGCCTGGACGGATGTTCCTCTTTCTACATGGGGTCTTGGGGCGTCTGCGTGGGGTTTCTCCGCATGAGCTGGTCTCTGGGCTTTCTTGGAGCAGGGCGGCTGCAGGCAACGGACTTCCCAGATGGCACGGCCAGAGGCAGGGGCAGCTCAGACTATGTGGGTGAGGTTCCAAGGGACGGGCCAGCGGCCACATTGCCTTTTAGGACTTGGTTGTGGAAGTGACAGTGTGTCACACCATAGGTGATCTCTCAGGGGGAGACACGTTAAAGTCATGAGATAGGAAGAGTGTGCGATGTGTGAGCTCTCGATGTGACCATATCTGGAAGGTGCTATGTGCCAGCCTGTTTTACTCCACAGAGGTGACTAATGGTGCATATGGAGATGGCCAGCATAGCAGAAGAGGGGAGTTATACTTTGGAGGTAGGAGCAGAAAGGACCCTCAAATCCCACCGGGTGGACAGCTGCCTATAGCATCACGCACAGGCTGGTCCTGTCCTCAGCATCTTACAAATAAATGCCAAACAAATAAAAATAAATAAGGACTGTTATTGAAGACTTACATTTGTAGCGAGTGTTCACATGCTTGTCCCATCTAACAGCCCATGGGGTGAGGACTACAGTAATCCCCATTTCCAAGAACAGGGAAATTGAGGTTCAGGAAATAAATGTCCCGGCCCCAAGGCACCCATTCGGAAGTGGCAGGGATGGGATTTGCACCTACGTCTGTGTGACCTCAAGTGAGTCCCCTTTATCACCCTGGACCTAGCGTCCTGCATCACTCAAAGGTAAGGCCAGCTCTGCCCAACACCCAGCACCCCAGAATAATGCACGTAAGTGGTAAGGCTTGAAGGGGTACATCAAAGAGGAACCAGGGAACCAGTAATTTCAGTCTTAATCAAAGAGGCCCAGAAACTTGGAAGGTTCGTTCAGGATGCCTGAGTCTTACCTGCAAACAGTCCTAGTTCCCTTTTGAGCCTAGCTGCCCTAGGAGTGAGCAAATGGTCCCATCATACCTACTTAACCCCCTCCCCCCAGGGACGGGGTGTTCACTACCTCTCACAGCAGCCCAATTTCCAGAGAAAGTGCCTTCATTGACATTGCCAGGGGGAGTCCCCCATTGGAATAATCCTTGTAGAAAGTGAGTTGGTAATTGATAGCTGTCCATCTTAGGAGCCACAAAAACACGTGTGCCTTTGCTCCGGAGCTTTTCTGAAGTGAAGAGGAGAAGATGTGAGCCATGCCTTACGCACAAGTGTTCAGGACAGCCATCTCTACAGCTGTGCGACAGTTAGAAGCCCCCTAACAGTCTGCTGACAGCGGTGTCAGCCAGCGTTCAACCAGTAGGACAATCAGAAGAAGATCGAAATTCAGAGATGAACTGTAAGGAGTGGATTTATAAGACTGGCGGCGGGGTGGGGGTGGGGGGCTGGTTGGGCGAGTCCAAAATCCAGAGGGCAGGCTGGCAGAAAAGTCTTGGGCATGAGCCATTACAAGTAAAATTTCTTCTTTGGGGAAGTGTCAGCTCTGCTCTTAAAGCCTTTCAACAGATTGGTTCAAGACTACCCAGGTGATCCAGGATAGTCTCATTTGCTTGAAATCAACAGATTATGGACTTTAATCACATCTACAAAACTCCTTCATGGCCACCAGTAGCTCAAATGCTTGATGGAACAACCAGGGACTATAGCCCAGCCAAGCTGACACATAGCTATGACCTTCATCGGTGTAAACCAGGAAGTGGGATTGCTTGGGCCAGGGCAAGGAGCAAGGTGGGAAAGGAGTCATGGTGTGCGTTTTTTTTTTTTTTTTAAGATTTTATTTATTTATTTGACAGACAGAGATCACAAGTAGGTAGAGCAGCAGGCAGAGAGAGGGGGGGAAGCAGGCTCCCCGCTGAGCAGAAAGCCCGATGCGGGGCTCGATCCCAGGACCCAGAGATCATGACCCAAGCCGAAGGCAGAGGCTTAACCCACTGAGCCACCCAGGTGCCTCACCGTGTGCATTTTTGCACATATCATTCTGTCTTTTCTTTCTTACCGGAACAGCAGAAAGAACGGCAGTTGAAGTGTGAAAGCCAATTCAATAGATGACGAAATTCATTCTGCCCTCCCAACCCTTTCTAAGGACCTGACACCCCTCTACCCTGCCCCTGCCCTGCCCCAGACAGCCAGTTAGGAGCTGGTGTATGCAAATATATTCATATAGGTATCCCAACTTGGATTTCATAAAATTTTTATAAGGCAGACTCGCGATGTGGATGTTATTTTGTAACTTGCATTTAAAAAAATTAATGGCATTTTATGGGTGTCCCTCATGCAGGGACACTTAGGTCTACAATCATTCTTTGTAATAGTTGCTTAATATTCTGTTGGACAAAGAAGGGCACTGTAACTTTGCAAACACTCCTGCATTGGTGGGCCTCTGGGTTTTTGCCCCATATCAACAATGTTCTATAAACATCATTGCAGACATTGCCTCTGGTGCAACCACTTTTATTTCTGTCGGACAGAATCCCCAAAGCAGAGGCAGATCAACTTGGGCATGGCTATTTTATTTTATTTTATTTTTAAAGATTTTATTTA